AGTATCCAAACAAATTTGATATTTGAAATGGACCGAAAACAAGTCACTTGTTCGAAGTTGAAACAATATATACCTATTCTCTTTTCTCTGTGCATGTGGGCCTCAAATTGGAGTTTCAAACCGAGGTCCAAATGAAGACAGAATAGAATAATTGAGGCCCGTTCCGGGACCAAATACTCGACTCGGGAATGTATCAGTGAGAAAGATGCACATCCTATTAAAAAAGAACGGAAAATGATGTCGCAAAGTCGCGGGACCGATAGACGGAAGTTCCAGCGGTTTTCGTCACCGTTAGGTCGATTTGTTCTCACAGTTACGCAAAGACGGTCGCGGGCAGTACACGCGGAAAAAATGCGAGATCGTTTTCACCGTTCGAGCACTGAACGCGCTCGGCAATATTCAATTTTTCGGTCTGCCGCGTCGCATGATTGCCGCGCGAATCCTCCGCGAGAGATATAAATCGCCTCGGAAGCGCCCGATACAACGCCGTATAATCAAATACGAAACACTTCCGACAGGTTTTCGGGCCCGATAAGAGTTACCGGGGCGCCTGGCGTGGGCGAAAATTGCCCCCGACGTGGAAAAATCGATTTCGACGCTGACACTGAGAAAAATTTCCATCGGATAAACCAATTAAATAGTGTTTCCGATGGTTCATTTTTCCGTTTACGTTTTCCGATTAAAGTATGGACCACATCCGATGAAATTTATCCGACCAAGGATAAATTTCATTAAATGCCAGAAAAATAATCTTCCAGAGGCGGCTTCCCCTCACGCTCTTTTTTCCGCTGGGCGCTGCTCGGGTCTTTCGACAGATTCTCAACTGACGCGCCCGGCGATCGTGGAACGAATTACACGAGCGTTTTAACAAAGTGTGCGAACACCCGGCGGGTTCGGCAGCCCCGTGATCGCTTATTATCCCGCTGATACCCCGCGGAGTCGGTCACAATGATCCTCGACCAGTCCTGCATCATCTCGTCCGATTTTTCCGTCGCTTTCCATCGCCGCGTTCTCGCCTCTGGATGCTATTATCCCGCGTTGCCCGAAAGCAATTTTCTCCGTCGCTTTCTCCAATCGGTTTTGCGGCCTCCCTCGGTACGCCGCACGACGTTTAAAGGGTCGTTAAAATCGGAAGAGACCCGTGTGGTGCCTGAGCCGTAAAATGAGTATCTCAAAAGTACCGCGGGGCCGAAATAGAAGGATGAATTATCGAACGTAACGTTACGTCAATGTTTGCACATTCGTGCGCCCCCCGCGTAAAGAGGCGCCAGTTAAATTTAAACGCACGGATAATTGTCTATTAAAAGTTGGCTTATTTATACGCGGAATCTATTAGCGCGGAGTTTAGAACGATACGTTGTCGCAAACATCTCGAGAAGTTCCTTAATCGCGGAAGTGACTCGCGTTAGTTGGTAATGAAGCAGAGTGTCCCAAGTTTTGTCGATGCGCCCGGAAAGTCGTGCGTCTCGCATAGTTAAAAGTTTTTGAAAGACTTACGCGCGAGGCGTGAAACGTAAAATTCTGTCTGCTTATAGTTGAACGCGCGCGCCCGCCCGCTTCGCATCGAGCGTACCTTCGCGGCTGCTCGCTCGCTCGCTCGCTCGCCGATAATTTCGTTTCCTATTCTCGCGATAGTTTTCTCCGTAATGAATAACGAAACACTTTTAAGGATAATTTACACCTACTTAGCTGATCTATACACCTACATGGACCAGCAATAATCTACTTCGATGACATATTATTTACTCCTCCCTTGAATCTTTATTTCTCAAAATTTACTTTAGCTCCTACTTAAAAGGACCCACTTTAATGCTAAATTGGCAAAAGTAGAAATTTTCGACACTATCAGTTTTAAAGTAGGAGTAACTTTTGTACTTCCAGTTCAACCTCTTTTACTATCTCAGGTCCTACTATATAATAGAATTAAAGGTTCAACATAGAGTCACAATTTCGACTCGGGTAATGTACAATTTGTCAACTTGCACAAATTTTTTGAACGTATTTATTGGCTACAAAGTAGAATGTTTCTAGACGCAAAAAGCACATTGTAGATTATTTTACACGCACGATCTAACAACGAAGTTTCCACTAAACAGATTTCCGAGGGCAATAAATTCACGGGATCAATAGATGATGTCTATTGATTTAGCAGAAATCTCATATCAGGAGCCTTTCTCATAATAGAGGATTCTCCTCTATGATTAACGTTCTGCTCGTCCAGCTGCTGCTCGCAGCAATTCGTACGCACCGTCGAAGAGCGAAGCGAAAAGACCCGTGACGTGCGCGATTGACGCGTACATTTCCAATCGACTTAGTGCGAGAAACAATGCGGTCTGGTCGGAAGCCAAGTTTACGTTGCGTAAACAAAATCGAGTCCTTCGCCCGGGAAATCGGGTCGCCGCGTATATCTCATTGTTACGACCACCTCTTCTACCCCTCTCGAAATCCAAACAACATCACCGGGGAAGGTCAGCCGGAAAATTTTCCCCTGTTGTTCCGCATTGTAGCCGAAAAGTCTGGCGCCGGTGTGACGGCGGCCCGGCGACGTGGTTGCATCCCGTTCACCATCAGGGACCAGCGTCAGTACTGTTTCGCCTCCGGCGCGTTGTACACCCCGTCGACCCTTCTAGTCAGTCATTCTAGTCTTCGTCTCGCGATCGGGAGACGTTATCGGATTCATTTCCGCGAGATCGTTCTCGTCTCTCGCGAAATCCACGGCGGTCTCGCCTTTTTTGTCTGCACGTGTACTCTGGGGAAAAAAAGGACAGTTAGCCACCCATTTTGGGACCCACAATTAGCAATCGAATTATTTGGATTGTTCGTAACACGCTACTCTGGAAAAAATCTTGACCGTTTTTTTTGGTAGGCAACTTAACATTTCGGTTAGTGCCGCTTAAGTGAAAATTATCTTTGCGTTACTGAATGTCGCCATTTTTAGTTACGCGGGGTAAGTTCGTAAAAGATTAAATATTGCAAACAATAAAAATAATTCGATTACTAATTGTGGGCCCCAAAATTGGTTGCTGTCTCTTTTTTCCCAGAGCAGTTTGCCGCGATGAGTCACGGCGTCAATTCGAATCAAGGGAGATGATTTAAAGCGTGGAACGCTTTGATCGATAGATACGAGGGATTCTCGCATGTAGCTTCGCAAATTTTCCAATAGACAGGCAAGGGCAGATTAAGTAAGTGAGCGACGCGGCACACGCCCCGTTTGTTTCGTGGATGGAATAAAAGGGGTTGAAACGTTTCGACGCTTGCAACGTTCGACGATAAAAGTTTCTGCGTCGACAAGGGAGCGAGATCGGGACGAGCCCTTAGCTCCTGACCGGCTACTTTCGCGTCTCGCGGTAGCGTTTTGTCAACTACGAGGGTATCGAGCGAGGGAGTTCCTCGGGATGTTGAAGTTCCGAGTCGCATCCGGCCAACGGAAGTGCGACGGCACGGTGAGAATCTTAAGCGTCTGTAGGACTTAAATCTCAACTCGACGTCGCGCCGGTAGATTTATCTTAAAGAGATTCCACACGTGAGAATTGCTCGTTCAATTCCGTCACTGCAACGTCAGCGGAAAGCCCATTTATCCACGACGAGACGCAATTTCTTTCTAGCTTCACCCGGCCCGCCACTCTCGCAGGATATAAAAGCCAAGGGGGTAGCCACTAGCTAAGACGTTGTCCCACCGATTACACGATTTCATCTGATTGCAAACAATCTCGTCTAATTGCAAATCACTTTCTTATATGCACGTTTAAAAATCTGCGACGTCGTTAAGCCTCAAAGAGCTGGTAGATTTTCTTAAGATATATTTTTCTTATTTTACCAAGTATTTGCTTGTAGAGGTAATTCGTGTAAGTCAAGATTGTAGTATTCGGTCACGTGTTTCCTTGCTTCCCACTTTTCCCACCCGCCTAACCGTGGTCTTAAAGGTAATTTTGTATTTGTATTTACTGTTTACTGTTCCAAATTTGCACGCAAAGTTGTATCAACGTTTCAACTCGCTGTTGTTCTAACAGCAACTACTTCAGTCTTATTATAAAAAGAATACGCGCTTATAAGGGTAATATATGTTTGGATTTCACTAAGGGAAGTAAATTTTTGGGGAAAATGAAAACGAGCTGAGAAAATGTTCAAATTTAATGTTTATTGTCTAACAAGCGAAGAAACTTGAAAATTAGGACAAAACGATTACATCAAGTGGTTACCTCCTTGATAAAAGCGGTTGTTTTTGCTATAAAAAGTTAATAATCTAAAATGACATTAATGGAAATTTTCTTTTATTGAAGAAGGTGCTGTTTTCGATCTGGATCCTAGTAGCTTAATAATATTTCTGTGTGAAACTGGACCGACTAATCTTGTCCAACTAGTTGTAAGATTTATATCGATTTTGTTTCACTTATTGTAAATTTATACGCCCGATTGAATTTATATTATAATATTTGTGTCGAATACTCCGCGGCATTTATTTATTCGCACAGTATCGACTTCCGAACGATGATCGTATTTTATCGCGTTTCGATCCGCCGTGACGGTGATTTGTCGTCGCTTTGCCTGTGCGACCGCTTTCAGGCAGCGTCGCGTGTCGACGTCTGGGAAGTTGCCTGCCTCTAGGCGCAACGAGGGACCGCAGTGGTTCTCAGTTACCTTTCTGGTTTGATAACTCGCTCCGCGAGGCGATTGAAGCCAACGGCACACGACACTATTTTGCCTACTGCATTGCTTACGAGAGTTAATCAGGATTTAGCTTGAAGCCACCTGATCTAAAGCCAACGGCACGCGATACTATTTTGCCTACTGGATTGCTTACGAGAGCCAATCAGGATTTAGCCTTAAGTCACCTGATCTAATACTCTGCATTCTTATTGGCTCTCGAAAGCAATCCAGTGAGAAAAATAGTAACGCGTGCCGTTGGCTGAAATCGAGTATGCTCGGGCGTTAAGTGATCGCGGACCAACTCACGTAACGTCGCCAGATTTTTGACCGCACGCACGTTATCGCTGTTTCAGGTGAATCCGGGAAGCAAGGCAGCCCAGCAGGGGGTGAGAGAGGGTGATCTGATCAGCAACATTAACGGGAGAAGCACTCGGGATCTGACCAACAGCGAGGCGCACGCCCAGTTGCGTAATTCCGGGGAACAATTGAAGCTCGGTCTCAACCAGTAAGTGATCGAGCTATATCGAGATTCCCTCCCCCCCCCCCCCCAGTAACAAGGCGAACTTTTTATCGTTCCAGCGGTACCGTTCGATCGGAAATTTTACCTTTGTTTTTCCGTTTTTCTCTTGTCGCAGGGAAAATATCGGCTCGCCGAAAAGGAGGATCTACAGAAGCAGTCTGCAGGAGAACACCACCACTGAAATCCAGAACAGTAGGTATTCGCCCGCGAGAACCGATCGATCAGTTCCCGAGCAGTTCGCTCATGAGGCGGGAAGTAATCGTAATTCTGCCATTTGTGTGCCGCAGAGATCACCACGAGGACCGCAGCGACAACGCGCACGCAGACGGAGACCGAGAGGAACGTTGCCAGTAAGTCTGCCATTTCTTTATAACGAACGTACCAAGCTTTCGCGTCGATTCCGGGCGGCGATGGAGCACCCGGCTCTTAACATAATTGAAAATCGTATATTTACGTGTAAAACGGTTGACAAGGTAGAACGCTCGATACAAGTGCGCATCGATAATTAACAATCGACAAGCCGCTCGCGCTATATGACGGCAACTTTTGACGAATGCGCCGAACGGCTCGTAATTAATTAAATTACGTAATGTCGAATTTACGAGCACCTTTCCAATTTAATCGCGCGGCTGTTTGAGCAACGGGCCCGACGCGCTCGATATCGATTCCCGATTAATCTCGCGCGGTATCAAACGTCGGGCAAACCGTCATTTTTCAATTAATTTTTAACGCGGCTATCTACGGGTACGGGATCATAATCGCGGGGCCGGTAACTGAACTAATTTCGGAGCGACTACCACCGTAATTAATTCATGGGGCGTCGCAACTGCGTAAGCGTTCTCCAGGACATTGTTGCGTTTAGGATTTGACGCGCGCGCGATTGGCACGTTTAATAATTGACAAATTCCGGAAACTTACGTCCAACCCGATCGTTCGACGCGCCGCGTTACGTCGGAGGACCCAGAAATTGCCCACGCGTGACCGCCGATGTTTGATCGAGCACAATAATCCTGCCAGTTAACTGAGCGTACAATGCGCGTAGTTTAATTATCCCCGATGATCTCAACGGCGAACAATGGCGGCCGGTTCCTTTATGCGCGACGACCGCAGCAACCGAAGTTAGCGTCGCTGACGTTTTAGTTGGCCGAATTTCGTCGCGCCGGCTTCCCATTCCGCCGCTGCTCCGATATGCCTGGCAGTTATTACGAGAGAAGAAGAAGAAAAATTTCGCGCAACGGGAACTAACGTTTCTAATTAAATTAACTTTTCACTTATTACTATTTTTTTAATTATCACCAATATGGAAATCTACACAAAGAGAATTTTCTCTTAAAATTTATCCTGAAAATCGCGTGATCGTGGGACAACGTGGCGTAATTTTGTACGAGAGAAAATGGAATTGCAAAATCGACCGAAACTACACCCACAGAAAAAGTTTCCGGATCCAATGCTATTATAACACTTGAATGTATCGTAAAACAGGATCGATATAGCGCCAATCATATTTATTATAGAGAAAGGCATATTTAATCTTGAATGGAAACACTTTTTTATCTAGAATAAAAAATTTTTATTCTAGAAATTTCTAGAAATTAGTTTGAAAAATTTCCAAGTCCCGAAGGAGGAAGATTTTTTAACAATTCCAGCAGTTCTGTTGAGAGTTCCGGGTAGCCCCTCAAGAGTTCTAAAGGAAATCCTAATGGCAAAATTAAATATTTCCAATACTTTTAGTGTTATCGCTGATTTCGAGATTTCATTTTGTGAAGTTAGCATCCCCAAGTTTCAAATTTAACTTTTTTAGGTTAATTCGCCAGAGCTATTTTTAAAATTGATAAGGAACTCTAGAACTCTTCGGGGTGCATTCAGAACTGAAAAAAAAAGATTTTTTGATACATGAGGTGCCAACTTCACAGAGGTGGCATCGTCTGTTGGTTCCATCGTGAGTTTATTGCCCATAGCGAAATCCGTTTAGTGAGCAATTCATTCTTAGCTTGTGTAATCGTTGCAAGAAAAGATTTGCGATCGAATTTGGCTATCGAAAATCTGCTCTCTCGTCACCCACCTCGCAACAGAGAACTTTCCGTCGTCATATAATTTTCAGGATGAATTTTAAAAGGAGGCTCCGTGTATTGCTAAAGTAAACAGACGTTCCCCGGCTCGCACAAGCGCCGAGAGATTCTCGGTTCCGAAAGACCGAGGACTATTATAGATTTTCGTCTCGTCCAATCAATCGATAATTGACGGCTTATTCCGATCCTCGGGCGGCTCGGACGGATAATAACGGATCTAATGAGCGCGCGCAACGTATGACGTGTACTGTGGGCCATAAATGTACCGCGGATCATCCCACTCCGGCCGTTATTACCGGCTCTTTTCTCCAAATTGCCCGCTCGTCGTCGCGCTACAGTGCGCATCGAGACAGGGGCATATACCTACCCACGTTGCCGTGTGCGCGCGTGTGCGCGACGCGCACACCTGTCCCCGGGTCTCGCACGTACGGTCTCACGTACACGACGGTACACCTGCCACCACAGCGACACGCCGGCAATTCCGTACCGGCGCACCCCTGGTTCTCCGGGAAGACCCTACGCCGAGGAGGCGACCCTCTTCTTCTCTTCTTCTTCCTTCGCGGGGCCTGCGGACCCACCTTCCCGCTCAGTCTCGGGGAGCACCTTGTCGTGCGCGCCGCGCCGAGCAATCGGATTTCCAAGTCGCGCCGCTCGTCTGCGGAAGAAACGCCGGGATCGAGGGGGCTTCCAGCTCGCGAACGAGGAGCGATCGCCTAGTTTTCTGGGAAGGAGTCACCTGATGGAAACGTGCAACGTGTGAATATCGTAATAACAATTTATCTCCTTGGTCTGAGATAAAAATGTTTCCCGGTGAGCTTTGTACATTTTAGAACGAAGAGAGGCGGAAAGTGGAAAAGGAGGCTGATAATAATTGTCGATCCCTGGATCCTACGTTTTACCGCAACGTGATTTCGCGTGCAAAACTTTTTCTGAGAGAATTTCGTCGACAATTTCGCGAACGGTCAAGCTAATATAAAGGGCAGTGCCGATGAGTGTTCAATCAGGAAACGCATACAACAGCAGGGATGCCTGTGAATGACGCGATCGTCAACAATGCGCGTATTATCCGACGGTACAATGGTCGCGAATCGCTGTTTAATGAATCTGCATGCGATTGCGTAATGAGGAAAGAAAGGGCGCGCTGAGTGAACTCGTCGTGACAAATCACGCGATGAAAGTGAATTCAGCGCGGGCGCGTTGAATTAATGGTAATTAATGAAGCGCGATTGAGGCGACGATAGAGGTGACAAATCGGATAAAACGGAAAAATTGATGCTCCTCCGCGAAGATGAAGCTCTTCGATTGTATTCAGTGTCTGACGACGCTGAATCGGCGACACTCGTCGCGACGACGCAGCTGCGAGACGACGGATCCGCTGGTAATGACGAAGCGGCCGCCCACGCGTCGTCAGCATTGTCATTCTCGTCATCGTCGCACCGAGCCCGCGCAAAAGGTCGCCCCGTCGCGGCCCAACGCCCGATTTCTGACCACGATCCGTAGCTTCGGCGCCTCGTGGAAACGACGAGGGCTCGCGACGGCCAGGAGCAAGCACGAGACACGTCCGAGATCGAGGAGGTTGCTCGCCGGCGATGACGAGGCCAGATCGAAGGGCGTGGGAATCCCCAGGGCGGTTAATGGAGTCCACCTGAAGAGGAAGAGGAAGGTCTCCGCGAAAAGCGTGGAAACGCCGAGAGGCAACGACACCGGGCGGCGGGAGGAAGTCAACGTCGCCGGAAGAAGGGCCGGGGAGCTCGAGCGTGAATATTACGAGCACCTGGAAGCGCTCAAGTTCCTCATCGATCCGCCGCCGTGCTTCCGTAACACGGAGACCCGGCAGAACTTCGAGAACAAGTTGAACAGCCTTGATTTCAGGCGGATGAACACTGTGGCGATACCTGCGGGGCCCGGGACGAATGGGCATCGGGATCTAGCGAGTCCCGACGGGTTGCGAGGTCCAATTCGTGAAGACGACGTCTCGCACGGTCGCGGGAGATTGTACGCGGAAACGCTGGACCGTATTGTGGAGGAGCACCTGAAGATCGAGCGCACGATGATCGATCTGTTCGTCAGGGCGCCGATTCTCAAGAGCCGACACGGTGAACAGTTGTCACCCGCGCGCGAGAACAAAACCGTTCGCTTCAAGGACGAGGTGGAGCGCTCGGGAACATTTGTCGAACAATGGGAGAAAGGGTTGAGACCCGAGGGCGAAGGTCGCGAGGCCGGGGGGATGGAATCCGATAATCTCGCGAAGACCGCGGAGAACTCGGACTTTCCTCGGGATCGGGCGCCAGACGAGAGCTCGAATGCGTTCGATGTCGAGACGCGGAACGGTAGGTAGCGATTAAATTCGGCCGGAGAGAGAGTCGCGATGAGAGAAACGCGTGATTTAACGGCGAGAGTATCCATGCACGGGAAAAATGCTGTTGAATTGAAAAAAAATGAAGTTGCTCCAATTAAACGTTAACGTCGCGGGCTGCCACAAACCTAAATAATTCACTCAATTGCATTTGCTATGAACTCTACTTTTAAGCATTGAACTTTATATCCAGATTATTGATACAAACAACTATCTGATATTTTTTATTCATTAATACTGATGTTGTTTCAACGATTTTATTTCAATTACACTGATCTTGTTGATAGAACGCCATTCTTTTTCCTGTTCGTGAATGTTCACAGTAGTCTACTAAAATTTTGCGCACGAGTGACCGCTGCTTGGGTAACGTAACCGAGTACTGTAAATTTCGATCGAGATATCGTGCAGACTCATGATTTGAGTTGGATAAATTGTGAGTTTCATGGACAGGTAATGATCGAAGTTTCCCTCGCGTTATCATCAATCCAACTCGCGTTAACACCAATTCGCGACAGTGCGCTTCTTGCTGCTGAAACTCGATCGCCATTTATGGTCTGTTCTTGCCACGATGAACGAGGCGGTGCAATTAGTGATGCGTCATTACGTTCGCTTTTCGAGGGCCATCGAATTCTTTAAATAGAGGACGTACGAGAGTGCAATCGGCGCTGCCAGTTAATAAACCCAAGTGTCCGGAGTCATCGTTCAAATTTTATCGTGGCGAAATTCGGTCGCAAAGAGAGCTACGTTCTGCTTCGTTTCTCTTACAGCGAATTCGGCGGCCTGCACTAGCGCGCACTGTGAGTGCACACAGGCTTGTTCAGAGTCTACTCTTTATACAGGGTTGGGAAAGTTACTTTGTAAAAGTATCTAGTTACAGTCATAGTTTTTTCGCCAAAAACGTAACTTAAGACAATCGCCAATTGCCAATCCCAATCCAATCCGCGTCGACAATTGCTAGTCTGATTCGGCCTTTAGTGCGCATTCAGTGCGCGCCAGTGCAAGCTGCCAGATTCACTGTTATTTCTTTTAAATTGTGAAACATACGGTGCTGTATCTGTGTTGTTCTCCAGAATGTTCCGTCGGTGACAATGTTGGGCGACGCATTTGTCAAAGTTAACGAGGCTGTAGGCGAAATTAAGATTACCATAACAATTTCTTCGCGACGGCGCTCTTTTGTGCGCTGATATTTATGCGCCGATATTATGGCCGATGGAACGGCTTTCGATTTACGTCGCCAAGTTCCAGTCGCGGCCTCGATCGAACAATGCGCCAGCGGAAATAGCAATCCCCGTTTGTTGAACGGGCTTGTACGAACGGAAATTGTTCCTTTATCGTGGCGCGCGAGTAAGCCACGCATTAGATATTTAGAGCAGTCGTTCGCCTACATGGGAAACGCAGTAAAGCTCTCGCTTGATGCGGTCAAAATCGACAGTGGTAAACAAATCACGCTGTGCTATCGAAAATCGATTTCAGCACATGCGGGAGCGTTTCTTCCGGTCCCATCGAGGTTTACATTTTATCGCGTTACACACCCTCGCTAAGAACGTTTAATCACATATGTAAAAATAATGTGGCCGCGAGCGGCATGGAAATCCCGTGGAAAAATATCGCGCTTGGCGTGGAAATCGGACGCAAGGGCACGGGTCTTGGAACAGTTTGTCGGATCTACGCGGAGCGTGACGCCGGTGATCGATTATGCAACGGACAGAGTCGCCGGGCAATAAAATATGTCACGCTGGCCGATTGTGCAAGCGACGAGAGGCAGTGGCGATCGGATCGAAGGAAATCCCTCCTCGCGCGCGAGGGGGGTTCAGCCTCGCTCGCTCGCTCGCTCGGCTCGCTCGGCCGGGCGACGAGGACGAAAAGGGCGCAGCGCAGGGCAGCCGTGGAGGACGAAGGTGGAAGACGCGGACCGCGGAAACGTGGGCTTGGCACCTTCGGGGCATGACGGCGCACCCATAGGCGTCCATGGCGCGTATTATTAACGCGCCCGTGGCGAACGTGGGCCCCCGGCTGGAAATTGCTCGCGCGAAACGTCCCCTCGTAATCTCTCCCTCCCCCTTCGGGGGAAATTCGCCGCCGTAATTTTTCCCTCCGAAGACCTGCGCGCTCCCCTTGGCAACCGGGTTTCGTGTAGATTGAGAAAGATGGTTATTTGCAGGGTTGGGAAGTAACTCGTTACTTGTAACGAAGTTACAATTACAGTTACTTTTTGGTAACTTTAATTTAACTTCGTTACTTTCTCCCCGTCTGTAACTGTGACTTAACTCAGTTACATTTTTTCGATAACTAGTAACTTATTTAATAGTTACTTTAATAGTTTATATATTTTTTAAACCTCCACAGATCGCATCAGGCCGTGCATTTGCGCACAAACGCCTTTATCGACGCTTTCAATTCAAACGCAGATTCGATATTTTTGTCATTGCAAGAAAGTAACTGCAAAGTAACGATTCCAAGGGGTTAACCACTAGCTAAAATGTTGTCCCACCGATTGCATGATTTCATTTGATATCATACAATTTCATCCGATTACAAATAATTTTCTTCAATGCACGTTTAAAAATATATGACGTTGTTAAATCTCAACGAGCTGCTAGATTTCCTCAGAACTTCCTCAAGTTGAGAAAATGTTTATTTCAAATTTAATATTTATTGCCTAACAAGTATAGAAACTTACAAAATAACGACAAAAGGATTACATATGATTTCGGAAACACTGTTCCACGATTACATCAAGTGGCTACCCCCGTGAACGATTCGTTACTTTTTGAGTAACCGTAACTGTAACGCGTTACTTTTCAGAATTGGTAACTTGTAACTGTAACTAGTTACATCTTTAGCGAAAAAACCGTAACTGCAACTAGATACTTTTATAAAGTAACTTTCCCAACCCTGGTTACTTGTGTGAATCGGGGAAAAAATTCTGAGGCGAGAACCATCTTCTCGCTCTTTGAAAAAGTCGCGGGATTATGCAATGCACGCGCGCACGGCGGCCAATCCGCGATTCTCATCCCTCTCTATCGCGCCCGTGTCCGTGACAGCCCAACCCCTGCCGCGTAAGCTTCTTCGATCCCATTATACAATTAATGTGGTATACACTTTATTGCGCAGCGCGACTCGTTGCGTAATCGCAAGGTTACAGCGAGGTGGACGAGACGGAACAATTACGTGCGTGTTTCGCGCGCGCATCTCTACGAGAGAAAGAGAAAACACCGGGACCACCAACCCCATGGTGTAAAGATACAAGGTGAAACATCGCGCATGTAACCAATTTTTGGGGCAAATTGTTCATTGGTTCTTCCTGCATTCAACCGCGATGATTTGCAGTTTGAAGGTTGAGGCAAGTTTCTGATTGGTTAACTCGATAGTTTGGGCAACATCTGATTGGTTGTATCTTTATACCATGACCAACCCCGTCGGGATCCTTATTTTAGCCGCGCGCTCCTCTCGCCGAATCGAGCTGCGCGCGTCGGCGCGCCGCGATAGGGCCAGGAAGCAACGTAATAGCTTACGACAAAGACGTAGAGGAAAGTCCTCTATTACGAGATAGGATTCTAATACGAGACAGTGGGTTTTCAACGTCCGAATGCAATCACAAATCTTATTTCGCAACGATTACACGATCTTAAGCCAACGGCACGCGATACTATTTTTTTCCTATTGAACAGCTTACGAGAGCCAGTCAAGATTCAGTCTTAAGTCATCTGATCTAAAACTCTGCATCCTTATTGGTTCACGCGAGCAATGCAGTAGGAAAAATAGTACCGTGTACCCGTTGGCTTAACAATCGACTTTCCACTAAACAGATTTCAATCCAAGGGCAATGAATCCACGGTGGGACCAACAGACGACGCCGATTAATTTAGCAGAGACTCCACTACGCCACATTTGGATTCTGCCTCACGATAGGGGACTTTCCTCAAAGCGTAAACGTAGTTTTGCGCACAGGCGCTTTGGCGTATGTCGCACTTACCTGCAATCACATATGACACATATGCAATTACATTCACGCCGAAGCTTGTGCGCTATCAAACGCCCGCGTCTTTGTCGTAAGCTATTACGTCGTTCTGCGCCCAGACGGAGCGGAGGGGGACGTTTGCTCGAAAGGAAAAAAAATGCGCCCCGTCACTTCCGGATCTCGCGCGTGTCCGCTCGCGACTGCCGTGACGCAATGAAAAGTGCGGAGAATAGATGGGTGCGCTTCGCGCGACACAGAGTCACTCCGCCGCCGGCATTGTACGCTCGGAAGGAAGTCCAACTCGGAAGCGGCCGCTATTCATGAATTCAGAGGGGGACTCGTGTGCGTTGCGTGTACCCTCTCCCCCTTGCCCGAGCGTTAATGCGCGCTACAGTTTCGCGGGTGTGTGCGTGCACGTAGCGCACCATCGTCCCATAAATATCTCGAGTTCGTGCGCGCTTTCCCTCCCCGAAAAAGGGAGACCCCCAAAACGAAAAAAATAAAAAAGAAAAATCAGGCTCGCGTTTCTCTCTGCCAGGCTTTTTCGCAAAATCGTCGAGTGCTCGCGCGGTGCCCGCGGCTCCACGCCAGCGCGTCTAAGCGATTCGCGCTTGCGAGCGCAGCATCCGAAACCGCTGTATCCTTCGGAGGGTGTAGAGCCCGAGAGAGTTTCGGAGAACCGCCCCAAGTATGTACGACCGACACGCGGACGACCGCGGTCCGCTGACACCGGGGACGGCGTTGCTGAAACATTCTCACTCGTTCGGCGTAATCGTCCACGTGTGTGAGCGATACAAATTCACCTGGAGCGACGTGGATGCGTGCACGACACACGTGACTCCCGCGCGGGTGGGGACGCGAGCCGCGTTTCGTGGGTGGTTTCGTTGGATCCGCTCGTGCGGCTTCAGTGCATAATCGCGATTCACGTGCCCTGCAGGTCGCGGTGTTGCGCCGCTGGATCGCGGCTGCTCTACGGTCAACATGGGCGTCATCGTCGGCGTCGTCGTCGTCGTCGTCGGAATTCTCGCCTAAATTTAACGCGGCCATTCGTGCCTCGCGCGACGCTCGTCGTCGTATTCCGCGCGTGGACTCGCGGATATCGCTCGATTGGCCGGCGCCGCGCATAAACCGCGTCTCCGAAGTCTCTTGTTAAGATGTGACGCGTCGAGGTACGCCCGTTGGAAGCGTCGGAGAACGTAAATCGTGTTTCGCCGGGATTCACAAATATTTTTTTTAATTCTGTCGTTTAATCCCATTACGTTTAAGCAATTTAATTCTCGCGAGTTGATCTCGCGTAAGTAAGACGCCTCCGAGAGACGATATTCGCGCTGCTCACCGCAACGTCGAACCGTTTCTTTCAGATGACACAAAAATCGAGCAGAGCTACGCCAATCAGAACGGTGCTCTGAAGAGCTGCCCGAGCGAACAACGAGGCGACGCTAAGAAAGGTAAGAGCGCCTCGTTATCGGCGAAAGGAGAATATGTATTTGGGAATGCTGGGCTGGACCACGCTTATTTCTGCATGATCGCTGAAACACTGTATACACCGATATCTTCTTTCTTCTTTTCCTCATCAAGCGATTGCGACTGTCTGGGACGATCTTTCTAAAAGCCTGCCGAATTGTCTCGCGCAAAAAGGAGACTCGAGCGTGGATAAAGCGGTGCGGTGTGTATTAAAAATTGGGCACAGTGAATTTCCCTCGAGGATTCCGAGTGGAAAACGTTCGAGGGACATTGAGACGCGGGAAATTTCTTTCCTTCTTTTTTTGTTAAAGAAATCGAAGCTGCGTCGAAACTTAAGAACAATCCTCTGCTTTAGTTGACTAGATGTAAAGAAACCATTTTAATGTCTTTCCTATCTTTTTCCCCCCAAGTTAGAATGGAACGTTTCGTGTCCAATAGAAATTCGTGGGAGAGATCGAAGCTGTAACTTTCTGCAAAAATGCAGTCCTGCGGTAACATCTTTCCGTAATACTCTCTCGGAAACTTTAAAATCCCGCTGCTCCTCTCCGGGGGATGCGGGAAAATCGTAACGAGCCGTCGTCTTTAAGCGTGAAAATAAGGGCGCGTCAAACGCACGTACGTGTACGCGCGCGAGAAAAATCCCGAGTCGGGAAACTCGCGGCGGATATTATTAGGTAGAAGCGCGCGGGGTGGAGAAACGGGGGTGGCCGGAGAAGTTGTCGCGGAACGACCGCGGCGCGATATCTCCTGGCGAGAATCCTGCGGGAGGAGAGAAAGAAGAAGGGAGGAGAGGACGGCGCGCGAGAACGGGGGAGTTTTTCCACAAATTCGCGACGCCGTAGGACACCGCGATCTTCCGGGCTACGCAACGGACGCGGAGGACTGCGCCGTGATGCCGCAGGGCAGCGCGCGCAACCGCAACCGCGGCCGCAAGAATCGGAATCGACGGCGACCTCAGCCGCCGGCGAACGTCACGGAATCCCCGCGAAAGGCCGAACAGAGGAAGCCCGAGGAAGAGAATCGCCCGACGACCTCGAGGAACAAACGCGATAACGACAATGACGACGACGACGACGACGACTCGAAGACGAACGACTCCGTCGCGGAGAATCCCGTCCCGCAAAACGTCAGTCCGACAGAAGCCGAGGATCGCGGTGGATTCTCGTTGAATCGCGGATGCAAATTCCGGCCGGGCGACAAGCGCAGAGTCGAGAAGGTCGAGCTAGCGGAATCCCCCAGGATAATCGAGATCACGACCGTCAGCAGTTTACCTCTGGAGGCGACAATCGGCCATATTGCCGGGGTGGGCATCCTGGAGACTGGAAGCGGCGATAAGACGTCGAAGGACCCGACGATAGTGACGGTATCGGAGCCGGTGGAAGAATCTGTTGTACGCTCGCTTTCCGGTTATGCGAAGACCAGACTGCCACGAGCGAACGAGACTCGATTGGAGATCCGAGAAGTCAACGACAGCGACACGGAGGCTGACTGTGGATCGGCGATCGTCGAATTCGAATCCGATGCGGAGAAGGAGGGGGTTGGAGGAGAGGACTCCGAGGGTCGCGAGATATCCAAGCCGAGGGATCGGAGCGGGCAGCAGTCCGCGTCGCAGAAGAAGTTCTCTAAACCGGAAACGGAATCCCCGACCCTGATGTGGGCCACGGTGATGCCTAAAGACGTAGAGAAAAAGCTACGGAACTTGATTGAGGATCTCCAACTGCCGAGTTTCTCCGAGGAGGCGGCCGAGGACGAGGGGCGGTCTCTCGAAAGAGTGCCGCGGGACGTCGTGACGGAAGAGAGCAGGTCCTTCGAGAAGGCAGGCAGTCCGTCGCGTCGGAAAACGAGGAAGCGCGCGATGTCGGCGTCGCATTACGCCAGCAGCTTCCTGGACATCATACAGGAGGAGGGCGAGAGGCTGTCGGAGGACGAGGCGCAGCACATTCGAGATTTCATAAACGAGGAGATTAGCAAGTATCGGCGCGAGGACAGGCTTTCCGTCGAGAGGACGGCGAACGGTGTCGAAGCGAGAAGGGTTGATCCCGAGAAGATCGAACCGACTGCCGAGAAGTTGAAACGCGACGTTGAGATTAAGACCGATACGACGGTGAACGACACCACGGAATTACGATCGCGCGATAAAGTGAGCGATTGCGAGGAGATTGAAAGCGTCGCGAGTCCTGCAGTGGTGGAAGACACCGAAACGAGGGACGGTAAAGCGGACGCGAGAAACACGTTGAATGGCGAATCCTTGGAAGTTGCAGCAAACTCCACGCGAGACGGTTTAAAGGACGGTTGTACCGTTGAGAAAATTGAGATTGTGAAAAATGATGCTGCGAGAGACGCTGGCGAGGAAAATAATAAAGCGAAGGAGGCAGGAAAAAACGTGACAAGTATCGCGGCGGTAAGTGATATCAGTGACGTAGACGTAAGTAAAGCGGAAGATAATAAATTTCCGTCCGAGGTCGAGGCACCTGCGGAATCAGAGGACCGCGATGTTCCTCGAAAAGATTCCAACGAGACGCGCGCGTACATTAATCACGGCGCGTCGCGAGCGGACGACAAAGTTGATTCATCCTCGAATTCGTCAGCGGGCGAAGCAACCCCGTCGGAAACGAAGCGACCGCCGCCGCTACCGAGGAGGTCGTCCAGTTTCGGACGCGAGCCTCAGAGACCGCCGACGCCACCTGAAATAGACTATATCTCGAGCGGCGCGAACGTTCACCAGCCGGACGTCGCGGCGAATGGCGACGGGCGCGAACGCGGGTCGACGGATTTACCCGCGCTGAAGCGTGCGAGTAGCGAAGCCGCGGACGAGGAGCTGCCGCGACGGCCGGAGCTTCCCGGAACTCGTAAGAGCTCTTCCACGTCGAGGACCGGTCGGGCGATTTATGACGGGGATTCTTCGAGCTCGCGTGACCTCGTCTCGACGATCGTTCGCGCTAATGAGATTCGTGGTCGTGCAAATCAGGTCGGGCGCGCCGGTACCGCTCCGACGACCGGGTACTCCGAAGCTTCGGCCGAGAGCGGTCGATCGATCGCGTCATCGGGTATTCGCGACGATGATCTGTCACGCTCGCGCGGCACCGGCACGCACGTCGTCGCATTGGCAAGCGCGACGGGCACGGAAATAACGCGTCGTGAGGAAGGGAAGCTCGCGACGCCCGCTGCACCGGCGGCATATGATCAAAACGCGTCGTCGTGCCGGCAGGAGGGCGCAGCTGAGGTGTGCGGGTATCCCTCGGGTCAAAACACGAGTTCGGAGAGGAAGAATTTTACGGCGGGTCACGAGTCACCGAGGTGCGATAAGTCAGACATTCGTGGGGATTTTTCGATAAGAGACAAGTCAGCGATGGGTGCCTCGGGTTCGAAGAGCAAGAGAAAGCCCGAGGGGAAAACCGGGAAGAACGAGAAATCGACATCCAGCTTCCAGCACGAACGAGTAGCGAGGAGCGAGACGTCGGAGACGAAAATAATCGAACGACACGAGGAGAGCACGAGCGCTAACCAGCGCGATGGCCTTCGTAATTTAAAGTATTCGACGTGGGAGTCGAAGCGCGAAGAGAGGCGCGAGGAGAAGCAGGAGGAAGAAGCGCGCAGCTCGTCCCGAGAGAGCGTCGCGAGGAATTCGCTCGACGACGAGGCGAGCTTCCGAAGGACCGACGTCCCGGCGAATCCCTCGCCCGAGGGCGAGCCGGGTGACGTTCAAGGACACGACTCGTCTAGCAGCACCACGTCCTTGAGTACGGTAAAGCACCGTCCGCTGGAAACGTCATTACCCGACATCGCCGCGATCGTCCGCGAGACGAGGGAGGAGAACTCGAAGGACGAGGTAGAAGAATCCCTGAAGCGGAAACTCACCTTGCTGAAGAGGGAAGCGGGAGGGTCCGCGAGTGAAACGACGCCGGGAGAGAGTTCGGAGTCGCCGCAGCCGCTGCCGTACTCGCCCGTGGAGGATCTTTACTACACGTCACTGAGCGAAGAGACCGAAACTTGCAAGGAAGCTACGAAAGACGTGTCGCAACGGCCGCCCTCTCTGAGGGAGCTCTGCATCGAGAGGATTCTGTCGATGCCGTATGGACCGCAGGTGATAGGCGAGATCACCACGCCCAAGCTCAACATCTTTGAGAGTATACGGAGTCTGCAGAGGTTTGTGAGTGACACGCCGACGAGCGCGCGTCGGCGTGATAACACCCGACTAAATTCGCTGCATGGAGTGAGTGATCGACGGCACGGACTAACGAAAACGCCGGACGAGAGCGGGCAGCCTCGTCCTAACGACATTGCGAACGCTGTTTCAGACCGGGCCAAGTCGCCGAAGGGCGTTAATATTGAGTTATCAGAGTCGGAGGGCAAGATGGGCGGCCGGGAACCACGGTGGCGCGCGCTCACCACAACGAAGGACCCCAGGCTTCTGGTGTGCCTGTCGCCGTCGCAACAGGCCACGCAGGTGCGCACGAGTGCCGACACCCTGCTGGACCTTCACCGAAAGTTCCTAAACCGGTACAGTTATCGCGAGGAACAGCCGCATTGCGTTCCTCTGCCGCAGTATCGGGTGGAGATCCGTCCGATGAGAGATGACGCGGCCTCGAAAACGCTCAAGCCGACCACTCGACCGATTCCTGGAGACCCCGCCACCGAGGGCTCCGGCAGCAGACTGCTGGAAATCATCAAGGAGGAGCGGAACGGTTCTCGAAACGATGCACTCGCGGATCAACAGACGAAGGCGATAACCGGTGACGCCATGGGCGATTTTTTCGGGCGCGACGGAGGTCAAGAGTGTTTCAAGGCCGAGCCTCGGCCGGCCGACTGGTTGAATCTGGCCAAACGCGATCGCCGGAGCGCCACCGCAAACGAGCTATTCCTGGCGGGCGAGGACGGCGAATCGAACGACGATAAGCCGAACGGTCACGTGGCCCGGCCCGATCGGCTTAAGATTGCGACACGTTCCACCACCCAGGCTGGACGTCGACCGTCGGCGAACAACGATGCGGTGATAACGCGCGATCCGGAGAGATCGTTCGCGAATAACATCAAGTGCCCGTTCGTGTCGAACGGTACCGTTACCGATCGATCGATGGACGCCACCGACAAGAGGACGCCGCTTCTCCGGAGGGCAGTCGAGTCCGGCAAACATGTGAATCCGGCGTTGATCGACGACAGACTCGAGGTGCCGCCGTTGCCGAAGCGCGCGGTCACCGTCGACAGATCCTGCATCGACACGACGAGCATCTTCGACCAGAGTCCGCCGAGAAGTCGTCTAGAGCCGCGAAGAGGCCACCACGAAGCGGAGAAACTGAAGCACGTGGCCGCGGTGGAGATCGTGGGTAAACTGAAAGAGTTGCAGACGGAGACGTCGCGGCGCCTCGACGGCGACAGGAGGGGCTCCTTACCTCAGGAATACTTTACTCAGCAACTGAGGTACATCGAGCTGCTGGAAGACCAGCTGAAGAACGTGATACTGGCGGAGGAAGAGGAAAGAAAGGCCTTCGAGGAATTCCAGACGCATTATCATCGAACGAAACAGTGTGACGACGCGAGGAGACCGTCTCTCTCCGATATCCCGGAGGAAACCTCGAAAAACCCCGGCGTAGATCCAGAGCGCGGACGTGAAATTCCGATCGACGTTCATGGAATGACGGACGGAAAATGCGCGGAAGATAAGCGAGCGGAAGCTCGAGGTCTCCTCGAGGAGAAGCGTCTCAAAGAGATCCGTCGGAGCGAGCCGGGAATTCAGAAAGAATCTTGGCAGGAGAGTTCGCGAAACGTAGAGAAAGATCGTACCGAGACGGTCGATGAGGTTGGTGGTCGGCAGTTCTTAAAGAAAGTATGTCGCGAGAACGGACACCACGAAGAGGAATCCGCGGAGAGTATCGAGCGCGAGGAGCGCCGCGTGATCACGCAGAGGGGAAACTCGGGGAGAACGACGGGAAATGGGACGTTGAAGTCTCGCGAGGACGAAGTTAACGAATGCTGCGCGGAAAGGCGATCGATGAGGACACCTCGGAACGATTCCGAGGTGCTCACCGAGAAGACGACTCAGCGTAAGAGCGAAATGAAGAGACCGGCGACGTTGCCGACGAATGGGGAAGCGTTTCGCCAACGAATGTACGACGAGTACGTGCACAAGGTGTTGGAGCGGCAGGAGCGAAAGAGCCACAAGGTCGTGAAGCTCAGCTCGCACGAGGACATCAAGCGGAGGGCGGACGGTGACATGAGCGCGATGGCGAAGGAGTTCATCGAGAAGGCGCGCAGCCGGCTGAGCAAATTTGGGATCAATCTCGATGAGAGCGGGACGGAGCACGAGGATGAGGAGGGCGACGCCCTGATGAACGCGAAATTCCTGATCGACGGCAAGGAGCTCCAGGACGTGCGGAAGCTGCCGAAACACCTGCGGGAGTTCCTGCAGATCTCCACGATGAGCGACGACGAGGGCGGTGAGTTACGGCGAATGGAATGGACGATGGAGTTTGCTGTGTTGCTCGTCGTGTTGCGATGATGATTGGTGCCGATTGGTGACTGCTGAGAGAGAGAAAGAGTGTCCCGCCCGGAAGCCGTCCTGGACTCTCGGCGTCTCGCGAAGGGACGCCCCTTAACAACCACTAACGTAACGCGCGCATCTTGTCCGACGTTCGTAGATGCCTTAATGTTTGTCGTCACTAACGTTCTTGATGATACTATGCTAATTCTCTCTATCTACCCGCCTGGTGCCAACGATACGAAGGCCGCTGGACGAAAAAACGCAGGAGGGACGAACAATTAATTTTCAGCTAATGTTTGCCCGGCACGATGTCCCTTTTATAAACTCGTCATAACAAACGTGACCTAAAGAGACGGAGAGCAGCGCTAATAAAATTCCGCGAAATGAAATTGCGCGTGATAAAAGCGACATTCGTTTCGCAATTGATTGAAATATTTTTCGAATATCGCGAATTCCCGCCTTTGATTCCGCGCGACGAAATCGAGCCGTAAAATTTGACATATCGCGGCATTTGATTAAAATAGTTGAGCTTTAGCGAAAAATTGGGGATTTCCCCGGCGAAACGTCATCGCTCTCGCCGGATCGTCTGAGCTATCGCAGCGTAAGTGAACTTTCCTAATATGAGAGACGGGCGGTAACGTCGAAACGGAAATCTCATTACTGTCTTGAGTACTGTTTTCCTACACGGCGCTCCGAGGCGCGAGATTAGTTCTCTCGGCGATAAGGCGGAAGCGCGTCTCCGCGGCGCGGAGATCTATTTACGCTGGTGCAGGTCGCGCAGCATCATAATCGCGCGGTCCAGATTGCTCCAATTCCGTAATCCGATTAATATCTCGTCTAGCAGCGAGACGCGATCAGTCTTGTATAAATAATAAATCTCATTGTATCGCGAAACACGCGAGTTAACGTGACGTTGCAGCGAATACACGTTTACGCCTTCCTCTCATTGCCGGCTCCGCCGCTGGTGTTGGGCGCGCGGGGCGGGATTTAATATTCCGCGACATAAATCCGGCACGCGCGATCGACACGCGCGCAATCACGCTGCTCGCTGTATTTCGGCATTTATTCCGTAGACGGCGATCGATTCATCAAAGCGACACTATGGAAAATTATTGCGTTAACATTCGCGCCCGGCGCTGCGACGGCGTCGCGGATAATGAACCGCGACAGTTTGCGATAACGAATATCAACGCGGAGACACAGAGGCTATCAAATTGCGTCATGTCGTTTACGCGTCGGCTCCCTGGAGCCGATTAGTCGCGGAATGCTTAATCCCGTCATCGTTACGCCGAGTAATTCGAAGAGATCTCTCCCTCCTCGAGGGGTGACAAAGTGACAATGCGATTACTGCCTTTTCAGGCTCCCACAAAGTTCTATTCGACACGATATGCGTTTGCTAAACGTCTATCGCTACTACGTGATTATTTAGGTGGTACCACGTCTGATGACGGAGGAGTACTGGCCTGCGGCTTACTCTTTCCTTCGTCGATCGTCGGGCCGCCGCGGCGTTCGCGCGTGATTCATTGGAGGACGAGGATCTAAATATAAGGCACCGCGACGAGAAATAGGCCAGTACGCTCATAGGACGCGTTCGCCATTTCGGCCAGCGCGCGCCGGAACCACCGTCTTGTTTTCAGCTATTTTGAATCACTCGCGCGACGTGGCCTACTGGCCCGCTCGTCCGCACATCCTGAGATCGATTTCGTGCCGACCGTGGATTTTTGCCCGCCGAATTGTCCATACGTGCGCTCTCTCTCCGCGATTAAAAAGCGGGTCGTATTTCGGAGCTCGCTGCAATATCGAATAATCTGAACGAACCTCCCTCGCAGCATTCGTAAGCGAATGTTTTCAAATATACTTTTCCCCTTTTAAGAGCTCCGACAATTTTCGCTTTGTTAAAAGCTTCAATCGTGACAGCGTAATTAGCATAAATGACGACCCACCCATTTATTTCGATAATGAAACCGATAATCTTCACATCGAATCTAAAATTGCTTTTTCACCATATGTACTGTTGCATGCTCGCCTTTTTAATCCTTCAGACCATAGGTGCTCGTTCGCTGACAATATATGGCACGCTATGAATATATTACAATATCTGCATGCATGCGTGTTTTGCTCAAACATTTTGACGTCAATCAATGGCTTTTGCAGCGAGAACGAAAAATATAGGCGTGGGAAACGTCGATGTTAGACGTCGATATTTGACAAAAGTCATTTGTCCGTGCAACAATGTTAATTTTTATTGACACAACGCCAGGCGCGCGAACGCGACTCGCTCTCGTCTATTACTATTAACTCACCGCGGTTATTTGTATTTCGTAAGTCCCGTGAACCTTTCGACGCGGTTACCGAAGCGTCCGTTTATTTTCTATTCTAACTTTAGCACGAAAGTTTAGCCACAGCGTGCGTTCCGTCGGGGCTAAATGTGCGAATTTAGGCATCCGCCTGTGGATACAGGTTATTTGTATTGGTGCTGCCAATTGTTACATCGATTCTTTTTTTACAAACGAATGACGAATATTCAGAAATCTCGCGCCGAAAAATTCGTTTGTCGCTGCGGCTTTTGCGACTCGCTCGACGGACTTGCGGCGCGCTGCTCGAGATTAATTTACCGCACTTTTTTTCTTTTTTTTGTTCATCTTGGTGGATATGGGCATGCTTTTTTAATCAAAGGGAGCGGCTGCGATGCCATCGCGAGGGGAGGAGGCAGGAATGAGAGCGATCTGCTGCACGAGATCGACAAAGCTTTGAAAATCGGCAGGGGATTTCTACTTGGGCAAGGTGCGTTCGCAATTCTGCTTAATCACTGACAGCATGCGTTACATAATAAAAGGTATCATCTCCCAGAGTTCGCTTTGCGACGACATATCATTCGCCAAAATATTAATAGATCGAGATGTCGCGGATGGAGTTATGTGAAATTCTGAAACGTCGTTCGCGTTTGAGCGTTGCTTCGTTTGAACGCTGACGGAATGAAGATTGAGAAAAACTCGGATCCATCTTCCAAGCGAGCGTATACACACGTATATAGCTCGACTGGGTTGGCGGGCGGGCGGGCTCGAGATTTCGTATAGAGCAGCCTCGAGCGACGTCGTCGTCATCGAGCGTCGGCGTAGTGAGCGTCGCGCGGCGTGGCGTCGAGCCTCGTCGGCGTCGCGACGCCTCAGTCGGCTGGCACCTACCGTGCTACTTTCCCGTGCCACGAGAGAGGAGTGTCCCGTTGAGATACGCGGTGCCGCGGTCGGATAAAAAAGGGGTTGTTGAGATCGTAAAGTGACGATGTTGGAGAAAAGTGAGTGATCGTTTCGGGAAAGTTGATGCACTATCTGGGGGTAACGAGGGGGCGAAGGCGCGATAGGTGTTGGTGAATTTCTTCAACAGGTTGTTCCGCGATCGCGAGAAAACTCGGAACTCGCGTCCTTCCGCGGCGGAGTCGTCGGCAAAGAATTACGAGCGTCTCTTGAATTATCGTCCTCCAAATTGACGTGGAAACTCGAGGGAAAAAATATGAGAAAAGATCTAATTGGCAAAGACAAATAAATCCACTGACGCGAGAGGAGTTGATTTAATTTTAAGATATCGAAGAGGCGTCGTAGAAAGAGGTGGAATAATTTCGGCGAACCCTAATTTCGACGCCCGCAAATTATACGATCGGTTTTCGAGATGCGTTGTGACGCCGATACGCTCTTTTAAGGCCGAGTCGGGCTAGCAATTGTCGACGAGGATTGGATTGGCGATTGGCGATTGTCTTCTAGCCAATGAGAGCAAAGCAGCTAGCGATTTAATCGACTCTCATTGGCTAGAGAACAATCGCCAATCGCCAATTGTCGATGCGGATTGGATTAGCGATTGGCGATTGTCTTCTAGCCAATGAGAGCGAAGCAGCCAGCGAATTAATCGACTCTCATTGGCTAGAGGACAATCGCCAATCCCAATCCAATCCGAGTCGGCAATTGCTAGTCCGATTCGGCCTTTAGTCTGCTGTGGAATAAGGCAATCCACTTGGCTTTATCCCTCTCTTTGCGCTCGTTTCGCGGCAGTCCATCAAGATCGCTTTTATATTAATGAATCGCGGTTCCATCGTGAAAGTAACTTTGAAGAGCCCTCCAGACGGTATTGGACGACGCGGCGTGTAATATAAGCGACTTGCGTCGCGCAGTGTTGACCCGCGATAAGCATCGAGATATTTCGCGTTGATAGCTAATGGAAAAACTCTTAGGTTGAAAAAACTCTCACGGACGTAAAAATTAATTAATGAGTCACGGGGTGTTTAAAAAAAAGTTTATTCGAGGATGCGTCGCTAAAAAGAAAACGCGATTTCCAAAAAAAAAAAAGAAACGGAGCGAGAACCCGAGACATTTCGCCTGACAAATATTGTATTTAATGCTTTCAGAGAACGTTATGTTCGCCCCCACGTTTAAAGCCTCGTCGGCGAAACCAGGTAAACCTGCGCGAAGAATGTGTGAGAAAACTAACAGAATAATTTCGTTGTGTGGTGCATCTTGCATAATGACTCGAAGGTGCAACCTGAAATATTAATATCCGGCGTTGTTCTCGAAATAACTACGAGAGTATCTGTCTGTTAACACTTTTAATGAAATTCTCGATAATTTATTAATTAACTAATTTGACGAACATCGATCCGGTGTAAGTGGATGACGAAGGGCGCGATAAGAGAAATGGAATTGCCATCAGGAGAGTGTATCTCCATTACGTTAACCAACGCCCGTTTCCGAAGACGTAACAAAATTAATTACGCGCGGGGTGTAGGTCGTATTGTGTGGGGGCCACGTGTGTTCTTAGCAGGCGGGATCGTAATTAAGCGCCTGCCACACGTACGCACGTGCGTGCCTCCGCGAACGTATTTTCCCCCGCGTAATACGCGTAATCTCGTTGGGCAATTTGTCCAGGGAGGAAGACGCGCATTAATTTCGGTTACCTGCGAACGCGTCGTCCTTACGGCATCGGTGTTTCGACTAATTACCGCCGCCGTGGTTGTTAGCCGCGAATAGCGCGTGCGTGCATGCTCGGTGCGCGATCCAAAAACGATTGGCAATCCAATGTTTTTGACATTTCGAACGCTGCGTGCAGCTGGCGTCGCGACAGCGTTGATTAATCGCACGTACGTTGCAATTAGCGAGAACGTGTAGCCGTTACCCTCGTAACGGTATCGTAAATTAATGTGTGCGACATCAATTTTGTCATATTCCCGGGTGGTGAGATACGCGTCGTCTGAGCAGTCCCTCGAGTCGAGGGGCCGATCTTTCGTTTCTCACAGTTCCCTCGCCTCCAAACGTATTTGATCGCGGACCTTTGGTCGACGCACCGTGCGTCGAATTCGCTCGCCAACGTGCCTGACGTGTCGTGCGCAGCAAAACGCGCCGCTCCAGAAAACGCCGCGGCATTGTGCTGAGGTTGCTCCCGGCCAATTGCAATTACGCGTGTCTCATAATCCCTAACGCCGCCCACGCGGGCTTCTAATTTTACCCGCGCGTCCCAAATGAACCACCCCTGATTTCCTGTTGCCGCGCGACCGCGAGAGATACGGCCCCGCAAATTGGCCGAGAGGTTCAATTCCGACGAGCGTACGCGCCTGACTCATCGTGGCGACGATATATTTTATCGCTGTAACGCCGCCGTCTCCCCCTGACATTCGTGCGGAGTCACCCGTCAATAGTTTCGTTTATGTCACCGACGTTGCGACACGTTCTTATTTCGACCGTGGTAACGAGTTAATAAAACCTCCGTTAAGCGGCCGTTAAAAACACATATGGCTGCGACGTTAGAAACGGGCGCGCGAGCATGTAAAAATATTCTCCCCGCGGCTTTGTTTCTTCCCAGAATTCTCGGCGAATGTGCGCGATGCGGATTAACGTAAACGTTGCAGGGAGTTTAATAAATCGCCTACGTCACAGAACCATTTTTAAACGAGCCGAATCGGTGATAGGCGTCGACGTAGCGAGATGTAAGGAAGTAGCCGGGAAAAAGACGATCCCTTATGTAATGCGCCCCCCGTGTGCCAAGATTAGCGTCGCGCCCGTATACATTTCATATGTTAGCTTTAGCGCCAATCTACGAAATCCGCGTAGCGCAGCTGTTTCAGGAGCAAAGACCTTTCGGCCGAGTCTGCTCCTTTATTGGCGATCTCACTTCAATTAGCTTCCATATCGGAGCGATACATTTAATTATGAAACGGATTTAAGAGCGGCAGACACCGAGTTCATTTGTAGGAATCAATCAGCCCTGGTCTTGTTCTTTATTTGTTTTTTGAGGGCAAAGCTGTTAGTGCGCCCGATAATAACCACATTTGCCTGAGTATTGATTAACAAATGGTCGTCTCGTGGGCACGCCGTGTCGATTACATTCTCAAGCGCGAATTTTCGGTTGCCAGGCGTTTGGTCGCCAGGACAAACGCCAGCTGGAAAGGCACCGAGTCCCGAACGAACCAAAGTACGAGAGAAGAAGAGCGAGCCGATCCCGTCGGTTTGGACCCCCGCCAGCGCCGGCGCGAGCCCCGTCGCCGAGAGGAAGGAATTTCGTCCCGTGTCGTTTGAGAGTCCTGTGCTGAGCCGGAAGAGGCAGCCAAAGGAAGAGGTACGTCAGTCAATTACGCCAGCTATTTAAACGGCACGAAAGACTCGCGATTGATTGAAGCGTTAAGTCTGCCGAGCGAAACTTGAAGCCAAATCCAGACGACCCCTTAAAGCAGCGGTAAAAAATTCCTTTCGCGAAGGGAAACGCTTGGTCGCTTTGTTTAAACGAATCTCTCGCACCGGTCGAGCGTGGTTGCGGCGGGTACGTGTTCTTACGCAAAACTTTGTTGAAGGAGGCGCCTCCGCCCTGGGAAGGCGAGGACGGGAGAAAGGAGAGCGTCTTGCGAATCGTGAATTCGCACTCTGCGCCCTCCCAGGGGTTGAACGCACTCGCGTCCACGCCGCGATTGCCACGTGCCCAGAATCCGACCATCACGTTGCTGCAGAAAGCGCGAGGTCAGCACCCATTACGAGAATCCCTCCGCTTGTCGGAGGGAGGTGGGGAATGAGGATACTAAAGATTCGCGGGATTACAGTTTCTTCTTTCGTTGGCTAAACCGTCGTTGCGATTTCATTGTAGAGGGACAATTGCCGAAAGGCGCGGCTTACTTGGAGGAGAGCGTGTCCAACAATCGGCCGTTGAGCGACGAGAGGCCGTTGATCTCTCCGGGAGAGATAAGTAAGTATATCAATCGGTTATAAGTTAAATAATCCAACTTTATTGCAATATGACTAGTATACGATGGCTGGACAGTTCCGTATACGAGAGCCGCCCGGTTTATACGTACACGCCGATTTTCGGAAGTCCGTATCTGTCCCTTATCACTAACGTTCGCTAACTAGCTGTGTCTAATTGCGTATGTGTCGATCTATTCTCTGATTGCGTACGCGAGTGCTAATTGATTTATTGTGAAATTGAATCGTTCAGTCTACACGCTGAAGAAAGAATACGAGAGTGAGCCGGAAACGGAGAATGAACCGCCGAAGAAGATGGCCGATCTGGGCCCTCGAAAATTCGAGGGAATCGGCCCGGTGACTAAGGAGGGTATCCCTCTCGTGTTGAGATCGGTAGGTCGCTAATTATTGCAAATAAATCGAAAGTACAAATCTCTTAACGTCAATGACGAACGTTTAGCAAACAATCGTATGTGGAGGGGGGGGGGGTGATATTTGCATCGCGATTTTTAATCATTGCGTCATATCGGAATGTTTTACGTCGCGGCGTGCGATACACTTCTCTCAATACTCTCTCGACAAATTACTTTTAGGAAGTCAAGGAAAGCAATCAAGCGAAATGGTACAAGAAAATGTACGACTCGCTGCACCGCGCCGATAGAGACGGTAAGTTCTGTAATTACGGGCGGTTATTAGATAGAGTTTCGCGCGCAGGATACGAATCGTCCGCGTATTTTTGTTATGCATACAGCACCAATCAATGTTGTCGTTAAATCAGGGTAAATTAGAAATTTAATATCCGATGAAACGTGACTACGCGCGTTCGCGGAGTGACCAGTAGTCGGCGAACGAGCGAGTTCACTGTCGCATAATTCCACGATTTTGCTTCCAGATGACTACGTAACGATAAAATACAAATCAAGAAGAGGTGAATATGCAACTTCCGCGCATGACTGCTGCGGTGGTCGAATTGCGACATTTGCTACTAATATTACGCCGTGCGTGGGTGCGATGCGTAACGCAGTCGCTCTAGCTGCGATTTGTGTAACAACAGCGTAACTAATATCTGTAAAGGGCCGTCTACATTGGAAGTAAGCAGCAAGAAGTAAGAAAACCATAGCCTTCAGTATTGGTCTACAACCTTGCTTTAAGTAAGCTGAAAGCCTCGAGCCGTAAGAAATTAACCAATCACAGGTGAGAGTGAGGGGAATAAATGGCTGCGATTGGTTAATTTCTTACGGCTTAAGGCTTACGGCTTACTTAAAGCAAGGTTGTAGACCAACACTTACTTACCAGTGTAAAGGCATAATTTCGTAAAATATTTATAGCACTGGTCGAACTGCGCTCTAATTCGCCGAGAGTAAGCGTCAGAGCTGAAGTAGGAGCAAGAAATGGGAATGATTCATTTCTTTACTCCTAGTCTTACTTCTTACGCCAGGCTGCCTTCATCTATTGTAGACGATCCTTGAGGCAAAACGCGGCGGGGAGATAATCTCCGATCGTAGCAAAAGCATATCGCGCTAGGATGGCTATTCTCCGTAGATCGGGCAGCCTGACATATGGCCTTCTGCGTAACGCAAGATAACAATTGTCGCTGTACATATATTCGCCGTTTAACAGCTGCGCTAAGTCGAGCGTGAAAAACAGTAATAAACGATTTGCGACAGATACATAAATGACTACCTTGCGCCTACATCGTTTAACAGCCGGCTGATACACAGTAAAAAATAAAATGTTAATGTTAACATTTTTTACATGTCCCAAAAAGTCCACTCTCAATTTTAAGTTAAAGTAACACTTATCGCGTGTGTTACCTTTTCGCAAATTACGAATGTTAATTAACCAACGCCATACTTCACATTTACGTTTATGTTCTTTCAATCTTAAGTTTGATGTAATAGAAACCGACAGGATAAGTAAACTGTACGTATAGTTACGAATCAGAATAGTTGAAATAATTTTTAAGAAATGTCGATATTACACGTTTTGGTTGACTTTGTGAAACAGTTGTGTTAAATGAACTCGAAGTAATATTCAATTTTTAAAGAACATACGTACAGCATCAAGTTATTAAAATAATAACATATACGTTTTATGTTAATTTTACATTGACGTAAGAAGCAAATCTTGGTAACACAAGAAAATTTTAACATTTGAACACACGATTTTTTGCTGTGTAAAATTAACACTCGCCTCTCCCTGGTAGGACCACCCGCCCTCCCGTAGATTAACACATCGCGGTTGATTCGATTAATCGTTTACCATTAATGTGTGCTTTAACTTATGAGAGATTGCCTGGCTCGCGTGGACGTCCGGCGCCGGACGTCTTAGAATTTGGAGAATCCCGATGGTATGAGATCTCGTATATATCAAGCCGAGTCGGGGCAACTTCTCGAGTCGGCGGGAATTCTTCGCTGTCGCGAGGAAACTTCTCGAGTTGATTTCAAGTTCTCACGTCCGAACCTCCGCCTTTAGATTGTCTCATCGCGCAAAAGTCGATCTTCTCGCGGCAAAAATTTAATCCGTACCTCATTTGCAGGAAAGATCGAGTCAAATTTCAAAATTGCGAACGAAGATCGCAATCTCGATGCCGAAGATCTCTTGATGATTAATTTTCAAATAACGTGTATACTAATGTGACGTAACGCGAGTAGATACGCGTATACATATGTGTGTGTGTGTGTATGCGTGTGCATATATGTGTGTGCGTAACGTGATATTTCTATTATAACGTCGTAGAAACTAAACCAAAGGTAAACACCGAATTGTTTGCGCTGTTAATTGAACGTTATTTGGTTACCGGTAGATTTTTTTGCTGGAACTAAACGGGAGCCCGAATAGATACCGGCTGAAAACAAAATGCGAAAAATGAAACACCCTTGTTTCAGGAGGGAGATATGGATACGGAAGCGGCAGCGGATATTTGAGTGAACCGGAACCGCGCGCATACTCGGATCGATCTGTTACTCTCGATAGCCGCCGACGGCTGCGCAACAAAGAAAATGACTTCACCACGGCGACTATGCCCAGAAAGTAAGCGAGAACTCGGAAACTTTCCCCGCTTGTTTTCTCCCAGCCCCGCATATTCGCGAGAATACGCTTCGGATCGTTTAAATTTCCTCCACGTGTCCTCTTCTCCCCGATTTTCACCTTTCCGATTAAATTTTATCCTTTGAGCGGATCGTTTCTCAAAAAAAAATAAAAAAAAATAAATTTAAGTCTAAAGCATGAAACTCCTTAAGGATCGTCGATAATGGAGCAATTTACATTCTGCCGTAGGAACGGGTCGCTGAAGTACTCGGCGGAGATTTATAAAAATCAGCCTGGCCGCATCGAGGACTATGAACCAGGACGTTCGTCGATCGCCGAGAAGGAAGCTAAAGAGGTACGAGGCTTACCCTTATCGTTCGTAACTCGAGAGTAGACAGACCTGCCTGTACCATAAATTAAAGCGCACTTTCCCATAACATCGGAAGATTCGGTCATACGACACCGTGTAGAAATTACTAGCTCGTCCGAAGAGTAACGATCGACGGGACAATCGAATCTAACGACGGGATTGTTTCGCACTGATAGCTCCCCCCGTTAAGTAATTTTAATTAAGTGCAATACGTAACGTAGAACTATACATATATATACAATATCCTCTCAAATAGCTACGCATGTCCAAAAGACGTAATGAAGATATTTTTAAGGCAACTTTTAGACGTACATGTCTAAAGGACAACTTAATGCCGTCTTAAAGATGTCTTTTAGACGTGCCTGCTATCTGGGCTGTAATATATCCCCGATAGGAAAATATTTAGAGAATTATGTGACGAAATCTGGATGAAACACGGAATGCTGAAAGTATGCAGAAATGGAGACCTTTCATCAAATGTCGATAAATAATCGCACAATGTATTTCTAAATAATATGCCAGCAAAAGCGCTGCGTTTTAGCGAATCGCCTTAATGCAATCATTGTGAAATTTCTGCCTTTTGGATGATGCAATTATTATGCAATACTTGAGACATTTTCCTGTCGGGGACCGTATGGATTTTCATCTTGGATAATAAATGAAGAGGGCAAAGTTCAGTTGGCCACGGTTAATAGTAACGTTGGGGTGCGCGCCGAATGCGAGCCTAAGATTGGCCATCCATCCCTCACGGGGGGGCGTCATATATCGTGGTACATCGCGAAATTGATCGAACGTGGCAGTATATCACTTTGTGTCGCGCGGCATCGAGCCCATATTTCGCGCGAGTATGGCAGCCGCGGTAGTAGAAATTCGCGATAAGACATCTCTCTTCCTTCTTTTTTTTATTTTCTTATCGCGGCGAACGCGGCGCGGCGCGACCGCGATTTCTCCGAAAGACTCCCAAGATTATCTTGAACACACACCTGGAACATGATCGTTTGAAATGGCTTTGCTTCTAGCCGACTTACGACGCGCGGACGAGAAGGAAGGTAATCCACGCCAATCGAACGTGTTAAATAAAACCGAGTTGCTTTTGCCGGCCAAACTGTATACGTTTCCTCGTTTATTGAGAGCTTTTCTGTTGGCGATTACGAGTTAATTGATTGCGAGCTCTTGCTCTCTGTCGCCGCCCTCGTGGTGGTTATTGCGTTTCTTTAACATACACACACGTAAACACGTACACACAGCGCAGAACACAGTTCTCAGTATATACACCAAGCACGCACGTGTATTCAGGGCGCGCAGAGTCCCTCGAGAGAGAGAGAGAGTAACTACCGTAATGGAGATTACATACATACATTTTTATTATCTCTCGAGTGGAGAGAATCGCATCTTTCGGGGTACTCTGTGCGACTCTGTGTAGTACAAACCCGTTGATTTCCACACGGCTTTTGTAGCGCTGCTTGTAGTTGATCCTATGTTTAAATATCAATGCCGACTTTCATCTAAAATCGAGACGTGGCTTTATTCTATTTATCTGTGCAATGATTCGATTGATAATTTAATTACGTTCAATTTAGCGTGCAATTATACTAGATTTCTGATCGTAATGGATGATCTGTTTTAGACAAATTTGTAACGCAGCTCCTCTCCCTTTGGCATATTTATTTAGCGCTAGATCATCCAGCATCTCCTCCTATTTTAGATGGAAAGTGGCGAGAATATCCGGATACTGTTCGATTACCCCCTTTTATTTGAATCTCAATGTTCCAGTAACCCCTTCTAGATAGCGCATAGTATAACACTGTGTTTAATTCTGTGATTCTAGTGGTGGGACGAGGTCATGGACATATTTGACGGGGTACGCCATTTTTATATTAATGCATAGTTAAATAAGAATTTTCTCCGTCTCTCTATTCCTTCTAATTTCTCCTCGTTCTATCTATTGGTACTCTCTTTCTCTCTCTCCCTCCCCGCGTAATAGTAGATCTAAAATTAACATTTTCCATTACTTCGGAATTAACCTGGTAGCTCATCGCCTTGAGGGATCTCGTAGAATTACAATGTTTGCTACGTAAATCTTCTTTTCCTTTTCTCGTAGAATTTTATCGTAAAATCAGAATTATACGGGTAAGAAAGTGCCATCGCGTTGTTCAGAACGAATTTCAATCTCGCTCGCGAACCAATCGCGCGTTGCCAATTTTCATGTAATCAATGCGCCTCAAGATATGTATTTTCGGCCGAATCTTCGTGGTTTGCAAAGTTAGCTAGCAAAATGCAGTGGCGAACAATTCTTTTCGCGCGATTTAGCGTCAAACGTGATAACTAACGGCGGCTTATCGCGCTCTGATAATCGATGTCCTTGCACCCGACCGCGCACCACGGGTGTGCATGCAATTTTCCCTCCCTCGTGGGGATTTCCCCGACATTACTTAAAGTACCATAGATCTTTCCGATAATGGTAACTAAATTGAGGGATTTATACGGAGAAACACATTATCGGGTGCAAAGGGGCTTGCTTATCGCGATGGACACGCGCGTCTCGTATACGGTGTGATCCATGTGTTAACTTATGCACGGTATGTCGTTTTACCGATTGCACCTAACGCCTTGAACCCCCGAATCGCCGAATCGCCCGGATCCCAATCATCGTCCGCTCGGGACGCTCGTGGCCGATGTCCCCTGGTCCGTGTGTGTGCGTGTGCGTGCTCGTCGATGTTTTGCGTATCCTGCCCGCTCGTATGCCACATCCCACACCGTTATCCATCCCTTTCCGATGACGGTGACGACGACGACGATGACGACCAATGGGTGACAGTGGCTGAACGAAAACGGACATCCTCAGCACGCTAGGATGGAGTCTCTGGGCGGTGGCGTCCGGCAGTCCCGCGTCCTCAGTCTCTCCTATCGGCCGGAGGACAGTGTAAGGATACCGACGATCAGCAGCACGAAAAGTTCCGAGTTCGTCGGCGGCGTAAGGCGGGCGCGCCCGGTGTTGCCGGAAGGCACGACCGATCGGTCGATCGATCTATCTTGCAGACCGCGCACGCATCGGTCCAGAACCCCGGTCCAAGACCAGTCCAAGTCGTCCTTGATCCCATCGATCGAGTCTACCGATCGGTCGGGCGACCGTCTAACCGTCACCGGCGACGATACCGGGGACGGTCGCATCATCCGACCTCTGGAACGCGCCCCCGCCGCCGCTGATTCTTGCTATTGGCACGCCTCCGGCATGCTGGATGGAAGATCCAAGAGCTTCGTGTTGCCGGATCGTTGCCCGGCACGCCGATCGCATCCGGTCGGGATCGAGCGATCGGCGGCGTCGCCGCTTCCGGCCGTCGCCGCGATCGTGTCGAGCTCGGCCGGCAACAACAGCATCCAGCAGCAGCAGCAGCAGCAGCATCGTCACCATCATCATGGCCATCACCATCATCATCACGAGCATCAACATCATCATCAACATCGTCATCATCAACAGTCCCATCATCAAGACCAAGAGCAACAGCAGCGACTGCCGCTCTCTTCTTCTTCTACTTCTTCTTCTTTTTCCAGCACCGATCATATCATGCTACCACCATCACCGACAACACCCTCCGTTATCACCACGCAAGCCGTTTCACGGGTTAGAACGGCTGCCACATCGTCGACAAGTAGAGTGCACGATGACGTTGTCCTCTATCTGTCTATATATCTGTCTCTGCTGTCTATATCTCTGTATCTTTACAACTGTCCAGTCATCTCTTTCTTCTTTGCATCTTTGTCATGATTCTCTCTCTCTCTCTCTCTCTCTCTCTCTCTCTCTCTCTCTCTCTCTCTTCCTCTCTCTCTCTCTCTCTTTCTCTCTCTCTCTTCTTCACATGCCTGTTTCACACATATTCATCTGTATCATTGCACTATACTCTTGACGAGAACAAGTTAGAGTTGCGTTTTTAGCGCTTTTTCTGTACACGTCGCGAAACTTCGAAGACACACTGGAAAATATTTTTTTTCACACACACCACTTAATGCGGCATGAGCAAAGTGTCTTGTTACGGAAGCGAAACGGACATCAGTGAGCGACATTATTTTTCGTACTTGTGATTCGATAATTTGTACGTTAATGACACGACTTTTTCCCCGATTTATAAGATCGTATCTCACAGATACATTTTGCATTACAAGCGGCTATTGTCATATACTTGTCAATCTCCTCGTATCTCGATCTCCTGCGTTGATCTTCTTGTTCGCTCTCCGCATATCTCCCATCCTCCCCCGGATTATGTCTCATTAGCTTAATCCTGCCGCGTCCCTCTTCATCCCGGCTTAGCATTACACGACTGCGGCATGATCTGCTCGATGTTCTGCTCGATGCGATTGCTCATCTCGATTAAAAACCACTCGTTCTCGGATCTCGCGTAATCGTACCTCTCGCGCCGAGTAGTGTATGCGTAGCATGTTTCGTAGACAATAAGTGGCGATCGAGGACCGTCGACGCAACGGACAACGATTGTAACGGGGTTTCTGTCTTTTTCAGCCCTTCGATCAGCGTAGCAACGCACGTGCCGCGGCCAAGCCGTACATAACTCAGTGAGTACAATGTCAATCCTCGATTCTTTTAGTCGTCCGCGACGGTGTCTCTCACCGGTGTTTCTCGTTTGCGAAGTGCTCTCAAAGAGTCGGGCTACGAGAGTGACTCGACATTGGTGTTCCGCCGACGAGAAGACATCAGTCCGCTCAGCCTTCTGGAGCAGAGACTGGCGTACAAGACGGTGCAGAGCGGTGGCGACGTACCCCTCCATGGGCTTCGCAAGCCAGCCCCGGAACGTCCGAAGGGTGAGTCGTCCCGATTGTGCTGTATGCGTTTTCATCTTTCTTTTGTTCCTTACTTTTTTTTTCGTACGTCTTGATATGCTATACAATCAGCACGCTGATCAACATCGGCCGTGTAACCCGAGTTGACTTTTCGCATGCGGGTATGTGTCTTAAGGTTGCTTGCAATGTGTGCGTTTTTATTAATTATTATTGTGTTTTGTCAATTACGCATGCGTCCCGAAACCTCGAGTGATGAAGAAAAGATCTGTTTTGCCAGTTGCTAAAGGAGTTGTACAAAGTCGATTTTTATTGTTAGAGAAATTACCCAGGTAGCATGCCATATCTAAAAGACAGCTTTAAGACGTCTTTAAGTCAAAAGACGTCTTAAAGACGTCCTTATGATGTCTTTTAGATATGTGTGCTACCTGGGTATGATTAGAGATGTGTGCAGTTTATTCAATGTAACAGGCGTAACAAAGAAATCATAGGTAAATTATTAAAATATTGTAATGTAATATTCAATAGCATTATCCAGTTACATGCATAATGAAATAATGCAGTTTATTTTATTGTTAACTCTCTTAATTAATATCCTTTGATTTGGCACTAAGGGTGAGAACTAATTCTATTGCTGTTTGGCCGTCAGCGAGCAATTAATGCTGTGATACTATAATACTGAATGTACCTATTAACATGATCGATTGAGCAGATTATGAACAGCAGATCATGACATGATTAACATGGTATAGGCTGTTTTGTTTGTTAATGGAAAATATGATGTTAAAAGGTTAGAACCATCTAGATTCGAAAATTTTGAATAGTTCAAATTCGAATTTTAGAAATTTAAATTCAAGTCAAACCGAATGTCATCCGATTCGACTCGAATAGCTCGCACATCTCTAGTTATGATTGATTCATATTTGTTTTGGACCACTTATGATGGTTACGAAAAGTATCCTCGACGTTTCGCAAGATTGAATGTATCGACGAGGGTCGAGAAAATTTTAACTCTCACAGCGCTGATCTGTACTGAAAAGCGCGTGGCATGGCGTGTGAGTAGTGCTCTGTTTGAGGCACACAGCTTTGATACGTACGAATTTTCTTTGTATGTGTAATCTCCCGTGGGCGGTTGCATCAACGTCAGTTAACGCTAATCGCGATTAATTAGGCTGGAGGAGAGGCTGTCGCGGGACAACGGATCTGTCCAAGTTCGTGCGACAGCGCAACTATTGTGGTACTTCCCTGATAAACTTATCAGGCGATCCGACTCGCCGGTATCGATTAATTAATCAATCAACGATGCATCGGCCTCTCCGCCAGCCTAAACTTTCCTTCCCCGATAGCGCGTCATGGCCGAGGCTGCGATCTAGACGGGGACAGGTAATCGATAATCGGAATTAGACGACCGATGGTGTGTTGGTGCAACCCGACCTCGGGCGTTTCTCACCTAAGTTTAAATATGGCACAGCTCTTCTCTCGATAGTCTGTCGATATTGGTGCGCGAGCCGGTCCTTCCGGAAAGCTCTTTTTTTGCAATCCTCCTTTTACGTAAGCGCACCGCCAGTTGCAGTAACGTCACAATGAGGAGCCGCAAACCCTCGCATCGGCACGCAGTCGCGCCGGCGAAGCACGGCGCGTCCACCAGCTTAGCCTTGAACGGGACAACTTTTAGACGACTGATCTTTGGGTGGCAGGGTGTTAAAAGCGAAGGGCACTCCGACGGCGTACGAGAACCCGAACCAAACCGGCGAAACTTTGTCCACAGACGACTCGGAGATCGAATATTTCCCGATCTCGCCGACTTTGACGAGGATCCGCGTGCATCGAAGAAGCGCCTCGTGCACGTCGACCATCACCTCGTCTACGACGGCATTCTTAGCGCGGCACGAGTGGTCGATACTGTCCTCGAGCGACGCAAGATCGCCGCAGCTGGTCATGAGAGCTCCTTTTCACAGCTCCTCATCATCCGGCAGAGTTCTTCCGCAAACTATGTCGGCGCCGAGGCCGCCCTCGCCGCCCCGAAGAAAATCCTCACGTCATAGCAGAACCTTGAAATTGTATTCGGAGAGTACGCGATTGATCGATAACTCGTACACCGCGTGTCCGAAGCCCAGGCACGAACAGTGCTTCGCGCATGCCGACAGCGTGTCGAGCATCAGATCGCTAAGAGAGAGATTCTGCAGCAACCTCGAGAGAAATCGACGAAGTCGCGAGCAGTTCCACAGCACGATCGTACGCACGTCCTCCAGCAGTCCGATTGCCTCGAAGACCGCCAAGGTGTCCGCTTTATTCTCCAATACCTTCGGCAAGAGAAGATCGGATCCCTGCTTGGCACAGACCCAGTTTGACGCAAAAAAGTTACCGTCGAGCAGTGCGAGAAGTCACGTTTGTTCTTCGACATCGCCGGCGTCGAGGAGCATTCGCGAATCTTCGGTCAAGTTTGACAAACTCGCGGCAGTAAAGGTGCCGTCGAGACACGTAACTGCTGTTGCCACTAAAGTGAGACAGAGATCTCCGGAAAGAACTACAACGAGACCGGAATCTCTCGCAAAGAGGGACAAGCTTCGTCTGACGAAGAAAGAGCAAGAACAATCCTGCAGGAGGCTCAGCAGATCACACGAACTCTCCTCGCCGATAGAAGTCAGGAAAGCTTTACAGAAGCATAAAGAGAAAGAAACGAGGGACGTGCAAACCAGAGCACCCTCGTCAGGCACTGTAGTGAAGAGTCCGACAATTCCGTGTAGTTCGTCGACGAGTAAACAGAAGCGTCCGGTAGATAAGCCTCTCAAAGTCGTGGCAGTCTCACCTAAGGGACAGGAACTATTACGCAAGACGTCCGAGCAGCGTTCTGAACAACCTACGGTGACGAGAAGGACGCCGAGCGCCCAGCTGAAATCTCCCGTGAAAACCGCGTCACAAATTACGAAGACTGAACCAAAGAGAACGAAGATCGTCGCGAGGCCATCAGAAAAACTGGTCGTCAGCAAAGAATCCTTACGTTCGGTCTCTTCGTCCTGTTCCGAAGTGACCAGTGAAGTAAGCAAGAAGAAGCGACCTCGCGAGAAACCTCACACGATCGTCAAAGCTCCGACCAGGAAGCCGGAGACGATACGTGTAACTGTGAACGGCGATAAGAAAAAGATGGATACAAGAAGGAAGGCGCGGAGAGAGAAGAACGTCGATGAAGCGGATGCGAGCAGGACTTTGAATGGCTGGAGGGAGATCGCGGAGAAGGACGAGATCAAGTTGCTGAGGAGAGTAGACAAGATAGTGCCAGGCGTTGGGCAAGATTCCAGTACCACGTCCTTGACCATGGAGGAGATCAAGAGGCATCAGGAGGCGACGCGCACGGACACGTTCTTCCAGAACCTTTTCCTGCGGAGCCACATGTCGTTCGCAGAACTTCACGAAGATAACGCGAAGAAGTCTGTCGTCGGCGAGCGTGCAAAAATGTTCCAAGACATGACGACAAGAGAGAGCTTCAGATCGGAACCGTCTCTTAAGTCCCTGAGCGTGTATTTGGCGCACAAGCGACCGGTCTCAAACTCCAAGTTCAAGAACTGGGAACGCGAGAGCGTCGTCTCGTCCAGAAGCTCGAGCCCGTACGGGGTCTGCTGGCCTGGTCGGTCGGTCCTGCAGAAAATCAGTAAATTCGACAGCTTGCTGGGCATCGACGAGTTCGGTTCGTCTACTACATTGCGCGTGTGTAGTCCAGACTCTGTGTCACGGGAACACGTGAAGGGACGAAGCCTAAGTGAGCCGCCATTGAAGACTCTGCCCGAGTCGAGAGAATCTTCACCGAGATCCTCTTCGCCATCCCCGACGAGATCGCAGGCCCCTCGACGACAGACTCACTCCAAGCAAGAGGACTCAGACGCCCTAGTGACAATTACGAAAAAAGTGAGAGCCAGAAGCGCCGGCGAAGCGGAGGACGCCAAGAGGCTAGGTTCGAACCTGTCATTGACGAAGAGCACCGGTTCATTATCGTCCATGGATCGCGAGGATTATCAGCAATATATACTGGAATTGCTGCATCACAGGCGCAAGTCGACACGGTACAAGGATCTGCGCGACTTCTACGCGAGCCTCAGCAGGATGGACCAGTTGGAGCGCACGTTCTCCTCCGGGGATCTACGACCGCGGCTGAAGAATGAAGAGATCATCGATTACGATCGCTGGAAACAGGTTAGATCGAAGGAGAAAGCGGAACAGGAGCTGAAGGCACTCTACGGAAAACTGAAGAGCGTTCAGCGTGACAAGGATTTTCTTTTCAGCGCGAAAGACGTCGATAAATTCAGGTGGCACGGCGACTGTGGGCTACGTTGTAAGGAACGCTCTGTAGAGGACATCTTGCAGTATTTTCGGAGACTCCAAAGCGAAGAGAGCGAGCTGGAGTCCTCCAAGAAGAGAGACATCTCGCAGAAGGATATTTATAAGCCCCTCTGGCGCGGCAATTCGGTCGTGAACGTGGCGACCACGATGCAGAAGAAAGCGAACGCAACTTTTCGGGATGCCAGCAGAACCGCGGATTACTACCCATCCCTACAGAGGAGCCTCGGCGGTAGCAAGAAGTTTTGGAGCAGTTTGTCCATCGAGCAGGTGACTAATCTGAAGAAGCAGCTGAATGAAATCTACGGTAGCGATAATCCCCAGAGACGATCGAATGGTGACGTCGTTGATGCACCTCGCGAGATTAGTGAACATCAGCGATCTGTTAAGGAAGGTCGCGTGATTAAAGACGAGACTTTGACGAGCTACGAAATAATTGTACCGCCCGAGAGCGATTCCAAGGACCATCCCCAAGCTGATTTAAAGAGTCTCCACGTGCGATGCCACTCGATGATAACGACGAACGAATCGGCGATGTTGAGGGAACAAAGCGATACTGAGGGCATCCTAAAGAAGAGTGACTCCATTGGCCGTTTGAAGGGCATCGAGAGGTCCGAGTCGGAAAGATCGATTTCTTCATCGATGTCGGAGCTGGAAAAGAAGAGGCTGTCATTGACTCTCGGCAAAGAAGTGCTGGACAGGATGACGCGAAGAAGACTGTCCGCGCCCCTGGCGCCTCGCGAGACTCGCGGTAGCATCGCCGCTGCCTTGGCGGCCACCAAGTTACCGGCGAAACCGTCCGCGAAAAATGTAGCGAGGGGTACCTGCGCGCCCGACACGCCCAGCGTGGCTAGCACCTCTCCGAGAACCTGCTATTCCCTCGAAGCGCCGTACATCGAGGACACGAGCAGGTCCAAAAGCGACTTCCTGCTGGTGCTGACGTCCAACAACGAGAGCCCCAGCGACAAGCAACGCGTGGAGACGGTACTCGAAGAATGGTCGAAGAAACCGCCCTTGTTGACCATGTCGGCCGAGAAAGCAAAATTGAACAGCAAGTTTGCCTCGGGCAGTGACGGAGACAGCATGACGGAGAGCTCGGAGACCTCGGTAAGAACGGTTATCCAGCGAGGCAATGGGCCCGAGACGGAGGACGTGTCGCGGAAGATCGAGTTCTTCGAGAGCGTGGAGAGAAGAGGAGAACGGCAGAAGGAGATCGCGCCGGCGGCGACAGCGACGACGTCTACGACGTCTACGACGTGGACATTTCGCGACAGGAAGAAGCTACCGTCGTCGCAAAGCTTCGCCGACCTGAAGGAGCTCTTTGGCGAGACCGAGTCAGCCAAGTACAGTTCACTGGGCGGCGCCGGCAGGCTCGATCGATCGCGATCGGCGTCGCCACGAGAGCGAAAGATCGAGGGCAGCTCGCCGATGCTACCGGAAGCGACGAGCATACGACAGCAACGACGACCGTTCCGCTCCTGTTCACGGGAGCGTGAATACGACGCGAGGCCGCGCAGCGTTAGTCCGTGTCGCGCGACCACGCGATCGAACTCGTCCTGCAGCGTGGACAGCGGCGGCGGTTGGCCGCGCAGTTTGTCGCCGGATCCCGAGAGGTACTGGCGCGCCTACCTCAAGCTGGTACGAAACGGCACGGTGCGTAGGTTGCGCGCGAGATTCGAGAGCGCCGAGGACCTGCCGCGGCGCGTCAGGATCGCAGCCGCACCGAAGCGCTTTCGCAGCGATCCGGAATTGGCTCGGAGCTTGCTGAAGAAGACGAGCGAGGGAGAGGCCCGCGGCGGCGCCTTGAAGCCGCACGAACATGTTGACGTGGCATGGTTACGCAGGAGATTCGAGACGACGAAGAGAGGACGGCCGCGGGTAGGACGAAGGGGCGACTCGCCGCCAATCCCGAGGGTGCCGCTACGCCGGGAAAACCTTTCGATGCCGCACATCGACGTCATCAGCAAGACGGTCGAATTGAAGGAGCCCCAAGCCACCAGTACCGTCACCAACCACGTGACCAGGCGAGCGGAGACCAAAGAGCTCGAGGCGAAGAAGCCGGTCTGCCGGATGCGGAAAAGGTTCGAGTCACCGGATCGCGGTACCCGAACTTCCATAATGGGCGAGATGTTCACGTCGGCGCCGGACGTGCGCGAGCTTCGCGACATCGCGCCCTACCTGGCCGGAAAGTGGGTGGCGCACCGGTACCCCAGTCGTCGCGACAACATGCGCTCGCTGTCGTCACCGGCCGATCTCCGGATCCACCGGGGCACCTCGAAGATACGTTCCTCTTCGTCGGTCAAGGGAAAACTTGAACGACCGCGCGCCACCTCCTCGTCGCCGACGCGTCCGCGAACGACCCCCGCGTCGATCCTCAAACCGTCGCAGCAGACAGCCTTCGCCGGGCAACCCTTCGACCCTGACAAGCACAGACCGAGGTTCAGGTACCAACCGCCGCCCCCACCGCCTTCGCCCACCGCCGCGCGAAGGCACAGAACCTGGTGGCCGACCCTGCCCGTCTACATGGCGCGACCTACCGTCACCTTCGAAGGTGTGAAATCTCGTCAGCCGTTCGGAGCAAAGAGGCTGCATTGAGTCTTCCTAGATACCAGAAGCAGGAAGGAGGACCTGAGAAATTTAATTTGTGTCTTTAGAAATGAATGTTTTTTTCCCGTTGATTAGGAGAGTAGAGTTTAAGTTCGTTAAATCGTGCAGTCGGATTGAAAGGTTCGTTATCGCTTCTCGCGGCACCAATATCGTTAGATATTAGAGAAGAAGCGTGCGCGTCAAGTTGATCGACAGGTTCGCTCGGCAACGCGTGTGCGATCCCTCGTTGAATCCCGCGAGTTGATTTTCGTAGCTGTAGAACGGCTAATTATTATTTTAATTTTTTTCCGCTCGTCTCCATAGAATACTTGAATGCACCCCCGCCGCCGCCAAAATCCCAGCACTGCAGAGATGATCGCCAAGGTAATGCCGATTACTAAGCTCATTATTATTATGTATACCTTTTCCTGTATGTTTTCTGTATGCGTCTGTCCATCTGTGCGCTCACGCGCGTGTCGCAGTCTGGTCGCCCTACCGGGTGTTTCGCAACATCTGGCACACTTGGTCTCCATGAAAACTAAACGTGTTATTAACCAATCGGGCGGTTTTCTGTTTCTGGAGATAATTTTGTTTGAAAGTCATGCTGTTAACAACTATTAATCTTAACGCTTCCGTTCCGTCCCCTCGTCACTTCCAATCCTAAACTTGCCTGCACGGAAAGACCGGCTAAGGCAGGAATAACTAAAATTGAAATGTCGCCGTATAAATAGTAGCATCTACATTGTTTTGTGTTGCAACATTCACTAAGTTTGCTGCACAAAACATATAGTTGTCTTCACTACTTATCATATCAAAGTGGATATGACAACCACAGATATAGCTGTTCCAAATATTACTATTTATTGGGGTTGTGCCAACCCCAATTAGACATGTGGTAGCCATATCGGTCTCTCCGTGCGAGTAAAGGCGGAGAATAAAAGAGGAAACCGCCTAAGGGCCAATTTCACAAACGTCGGTTAACTGTTAACCAGAGTTCAGTCAACTCCCTATCTTTTTCTACCTTGTTCTCTAACAATAAGAAGAGACAGAGAATCAATTAACCTTCAGTTAGCAGTTGACCGACGTTTGTAAAACTGGCCCTTAATCTCCTCGAAATGTACACCCCCTCGTGGTATGCGTCGTCGGGCTTGAGGCTGAGATTGATTCAGTGAAATTAAAGTTTCGCGCGCGTAGCCGATGCAGGCACTTGCTAAACGCGCGTCGCGTTGATGCATCATGGCGCATGTGACTCGGGATGCACGAGCGACGCGTGCTCGGGGAAAGAGAGATTGTGCAACGAACGTTTGCACGGGCGATCGAGCGTAAGCGCAATAATCGCGCGGTCGGTCGGGAGGCACGCCGGTGCTCATCCGGCTGGTACATCACGTAGTTTCGTTACATCCGCACGTTCGCATAATGCCGGGTCCAGTTCAGGGCAAGTGGGCGCGAGCGATCGGCAGCTGAGCGGCCCACATCAATGAACGGCGCTCATTAAAACAAGTTGCTCGCTCACGTTCGTTCGCACTCGTTCGCTCGGTCTGGAGCTCCGGTCCGGGTCGAGTCACAAGTCGCGAGCCACCGGCGCGAGACGCACCGAAAATAATATGCACTTTCGCGTATGGAGAAATCACCGTAGCGAGTCGCTCGCCGTGCAGCCCCGATTAGAAATTTGATATTAATTCGCATCATGCTCGCTTGTACTTTCCTGTGGATGCGCGAAATCGAGAAGCGGCACGTGGAACGTTAACGTTGACTGCGTCACTGCATGCCGTTAGAAGTACCTGCGTATTTTGTCATTTTCCAGAAAGATTCGCCGTAAGACTAGACTTAAGCCGACGGCACACGATACTATTTTTTCCTGCTTAATTGCGTAGGAGAACCAATAAGGTTGCAGAGTGTTGGATCAGGTGACTTGAGGCTAAATCCTGATTGGTTCTCGTAAGTGATCCAGTAGGGAAAATAGTATCGCGTGCCGTTGGCTTTAATTAAGACATTCTCCGCCTAATTAAAATATTCCCACGGCTTTTTACGTGTAAAATATTCAGACTGTTTCAATTACGATACCTTGCAGTGGCTGAAAAGTGGAACAAACCTAGTTGTGCGCGTTGATATAGATAACAAGAAATAACGGAAGTATGTAAAAATATATTGCGTCCTATATTGCACGATAAAAGAGAGAAACGGGTAGTCGGGGAAACGACGGATCCACAGTAAAAGTGACGGCAACGTTCGACGTGGACAAAGAGACACCTGTATTCCTGGTCTGTTACGCGACCGACCGATTACGCTCGGCCTGCCGATCAGTCCGTACAATCGACGTGTTATCGCCAGCCCGGAAAATCCAGCCCGGAAATCGGCCCCGGCGGAATAATTGCGCGGATCAAGATGCCGGGGAGATAAGCCCTAAATCCTCTCATCAGTTTTACCGGTGTCAAGGGCATTGGCGGCTCCGCTAAACAGTGGCCGCGCATGCTAATTGTCTAACGGAAAGATAACAGTGCACCGAGTGACGTTCAATTTACACGTGAATGCCTCGGAGCACAATGGACGCGCGACGCGCAAAGATACGCGATCCACTCGGTTGTTCTATTTGGAGTAAAGGTAGAGTCCGTGTTAAAATCGTAAACGGCTTAATCTGCCCGTGTTTGCGGTCTAGCGTCGATCAGAGAAGTCACTTTAAAAGTCGTTCGCTCGACCGTTACGAAACGCGATTTGCAATCTCAAGGCAGGAAGACGCAGGAGTCTCGGCAAATCTGACGCTAATGACTTCGATCGTATCGCTACGGCGTTAGATCATACCGCATACGCGGTATTACGTGCCGCTAAAATTGGTACAAGTGGCGGTCACGATTATTTTCGACGATGATCACAGCGGCCCGATGCCGAGGCGGTCGCGATGTCCGCGTACTTCGGCTAATATCGCGCGATAAATTCGACCGCCGCGCGCGATTGTCATCGCCGTTGCATAACGCAATTAGCATACTTAATCGCGAGAGCTCGTGCGATCAGGTCTTCGGCGCTGCGAAGTCTTCGGCACTGCGCCGTGCCTCGGCGTCGTCGTGTCGAGTTGTTATTCCAAATATTTGCTGCAAACGCGGACGCTCGTGTCGATCGTCCCCTCTTATCTAATCTCTCAATGATTAATGTGCGTGTACGTTTCCCTCGTCGTCCCCTGCTCCGCGGCGATGATACCAGGTGATGGAGTCTGTAGTCCAGCGCCGTTCTCTGAACCCGCGAAGAGCGATACCAGCGTGAAAATAATACCACCGGCGTCGTCAATAACTGGCTCTGAAAAGTGATGAAGGCGCAGAGCAACACTGCCCATTACAGTCCGCGATGCGGTCATATCGCACGCAGGGGAACATCGTGCAACAACGCGGCTTTTTGTCGCCGGCCTTGAACGCCTTCTAGTACGGCGATATTTAATTCTGCGGATAACGACTCGAGGAAAATGGCGTTTGCCTGTTGAGCTCTCCTGCAAACGTTGGCGCTGCGCCTGGCAGGAATAATTCAAGACTTACATTCCGCGGAAACCGGGGAAACGTCGTCTCTGTGCGAGAATCAAATCGTTGGCTTCAACGTCCGAAAATATATCGAGGGGCCTTGGTTTCGGTCCGAAACCGCTGGGAACGCGAGCGCGCTCCGCCCGAAGATGTTCCCCGCGGTTCCTGCTTGGTGAACCGTTCTTCAAGGAGTAGGGGGCCGCGATAACCGGTGCCAACGTCGCGGCGCCTTCCTCAGACGCGTTTCGCGTGCGTCGCGCGACGCAGGTACCGATAACAGGTGTCGACGAGGTACGTCGCTACGCGAGTGCGGGGCGATTCGACACCGGTCTCGGCGTGGCGCGAGTTCCCCAAGGCACGACGAGCCAATCTCGCGGAGTTATCGGCGCGCGAATTGATAATCGCGCCGATTCCATCGGCGTTTCCGCGAACGTGCGGGGGGGGGGGGGATCCGTTTGATCAAGTTCTCGCGTCGCGTCGAAGGTGAATTCCGTGCAACTCAATCGAGTACGTATTACGTGTGTTTGCGTGCGAGGTCATCTGATATTGCCCGGCTCTTTCCACGCGAGTCCGTCTTGTCAGAGGCGAAGACGAGAGCGCGGACTTTGAACGAGACACGTTTGCCAGGCCCGTTGAGAACTCGAGATTCGCATCGACCGCGAGTTCGGCGGGTGAAACGCGAGAACGTCTTGGTTTCGAATTGCGATCGAATCCAATTATCCGCAGAGTGGAATCTTTCGTCCGATAAGAGCGATCGCGCGAAACTTTGAAGAGACAGCTGAGCGGAACGGCCGAGTGGAAATAAGTCGCGACGGCGACACTTTGTCAGTGAAATCGTTCTCATTGAAAGAAAAGACCGACGCGGCGCCGTCTTCCTCGCGAAGTTGATCCACATTGCGCCGTGGACTCATTTGAATAGAATAGCCATGAGAGTGCAAGTAGCACCTTTCTCAGGGAAAGGTTTTGCTCCCGCTCGCCGGTACAACAAACAAATGCACTTCATTAAGACACTTAAGATCTCGCGCGGCGGGAGGGGGTCGATTTAATAGGGAGACGCCTCTCGCGACTGCGAAATTCTCGCTTTTAACACAGTTTTCCTTCAGCGGCGTGTTCCTCTTGACATTTTTCCGCGACGACGCGAAAGTTTCGCGGAAAACCCCCACGTTCGTTCTCGTTAATTGCACATTACGGGATCTGTGGTTAATGAGTCAACGTCATTACGTCGCCCGGATTAACGCCACGTTTCACGGGACGCGATGAGTAACGTTAGACTTTCATTGAAAGTTTCTCCGTGCTTATCTTCGAAGGGAGAGAACCGATAACGACGGCGATATCAGGAATGATCGGGATTACGTGTTAGACGTGATTGCGCGAAATACCTCGGAATATACGAAGACGGGCATTGGCACACCGGGGAACGTGACACGGAACGACGCGATCGCATCAACCTTGATAGTCGACGTTGCAGCTCGCGTTGCACATCCGCTCGCGAGTACAAGTCGCCGTTACGACCGCGCGAGCTCCTAACGCCGAAACTGACGTGGTAGTCGTCGGACGTGGCATCGGCGCGTTGAATAATCGCGAGTCATCGGCCGGTGACAATAACTAATCGAGTTTCTCTTCACTCGGTTGCCGCAACGCAGGTGAATCACGCTTTCCATTCCCGTTTGCCGTCGCGCTGCTAATTCCGCGAGGATCCTGATCGTCGGTCAGATTTTGAGCAACATCCGGCTGGGGGAGATCGTCCTCGATCCTATCCGCCGGGGATTAATATGCGGCTCGATTTGACCGCGATTTCCGCCCGGTAAACGATGCGTAAAGGTTGATTGAGGAAAACGCCGAGATGCAGAGCCTGGCGAACGTGTCGTCGCGCCGATACCG